ATATCAGAGAGAAACTGTCATATGCCAATGACAGCAACATCCAGGGACTCTTGGACTTCATCCTGGGGCAGGTAGGCTGGCAATGTGGCTGTAATGTATGTCCTTGTCATTCTTAACAACTAGGTGCTTGTTTTAGGACATTTGCTAAGCAATTGCTCTATCTCTGGGCTAGCTCCTCAACTGTTTGCTTTCTTGAGAGGCATTTTATACATTAACAAAAGGTCTACCATGCCCCATGTCAGCTGTATAGGATCCTGAGGTTAATGTGTATTTTAGTTAGGATTTTTATTGCTGTGAAGAGACACCATAACCATAGCAAGTATAATAAAAGAAAGCATTTAATTGGTGTTGGCTTACAGATCAGAGGATTAGTCCATTTATCGTTATGGCAGGAAGAGAGACATGGTGCTGGAGAGGTAGCTGAGAGCTCTATATCTGTATCAGTAGGCATCAGGAGGACACACACACACACACACACACACACACACACACACACACAGAGAGAGAGAGAGAGAGAGAGAGAGAGAGAGAGAGAGAGAGAAGCAGAGACAGACAGAGACAGAGGGAGAGAGAGAGACTGGGCCTGGCTTGAACATTTGAAATCTCAAAGCCTACTCCTAGTGACACACTTCCTCCAACAATGTCATACCTACTCCTACTAGGCCGTACCTCCTAATAGTGCCACTCGATGTGAAACTGTGAAAGCCATTTTCATTCAAACCACTACAATGAGAAACACCAGTGTTCCTGATATTGGCTTATTTACAAGTTTGACAACTGGGGTATTTCTGTGTGAAGTCTGGCTTTTGAAGACATTACATTAGAGGACACTTATGGTCTGGCAAAGGATTCAGTGGTTAATGCTCTTGCTAAACTTGCTGACAACTGGAGGTTGGGATCCTCAGCAGCACATACATGGATGATTAAGATAGCATCTCACAATGCCAGCATTTGGAAAGCAGAGACAGAAAATTTCTGGAACAAGATAGCTGTATAGGTGAGCTATATAGGTTCTGGGTTTGATGGAGAAACACTGCTTTTCTTTCAATAGAAGAGTTAAATGCTATTACAGGATGCTGTTGTCTTGGTATGCAGTGGACCTCAACAGAACAGACTAAAAACCAAATTAGTCACTCACATTCAAGTTTCGCATGATCAACACCAAACTAAGCTCTATTTGACCTTTAAAACCAAAGACTGGATGTGGTAGCATATGTCTTTAATCCTAACACTGAGGAGGCAGAGGCAGGCAGATCTCTATGAGTGAGTTCAAGGCCAGCCTGGTCTATGCAGTGAGTTCTAGGCCAGCCGGGGCTACATAATGAGACTCTGTCTCCAAACAAAACAAACAAACAAACAAACAAACGAATCAAAACTAAAATAAATATACAAAAGCCACAAACAACAAAACAGAACCATAAGAAGGAGAGATGACAGCCATGTCTTCAAACAGATTGTTCATAGTAGAATGAAGTTCCTTCATTGATCCTGAGAGCTTGCTTAGAGGTTCCAGACAGGGAGAGCAGACACTCCTATTCTTGAGTCTTTCTGTATTTGGGGGAAGCATTCAGCTTCAGGAGGAATGCACTTGGTGCGAAGGAGGAGGGAGGGGACACCTGCTTAGCCAATCAGATTAGCTGCATCAACTGTGGCGACCAATGAGGTGACAGATGTCACAGCCAGCTCATCCTCACATTTCTTTTTGTCTTATTTAATCTTCGCACCAGAAGTTACCTGATGCTAAATAATTTTCTATTGTCTTGCTCTTTCTCTTTTGTAACAAAAGGAGTGTTGAGATGACCAGATGATGAGCCAGCTTGTGTGTGTTCATATGTGGGTTAGCAAATGCATGTATGTGGAGGTCAATCTCCCATGTAATTCCTCTGTTCCTGGCATATTGTTTTTTGAGGCAGGTTCCCTCATTGCACAGAGCTCACTGATTTGGTTAGACTAGATGCTCAGTAAGCCCTAGAGATGTTCCTGTCTCTAGCTCTGCATTATAGACCCATGTTACTACGCTTAGCATTTTTGTATAGATTCTAGGAGATTAAGCTAGGTTCTCACGATTTCATGGCAAGCACTTTACTGACTGAGCCATCTCCTTAGCCCTGCCTATTTTATTTTGTTTATTTATTTATTTTTAAAGATACTGTCCTATGTAGCCCAGACTTGACTTACCAAACTTCCTGCTTTGGCTTTCTGGCTTCCTGTTGGGATTACAAATGAAAGCCACACTTCTTTATTCTGTGTTAAGTATTTTAAGGTTGAGTATTTATCTGAAGCACTTGTGATCAGAAGTATTTTATGGTTACGATGCTTTTATTTAATTTTTTTTTCATATATGTAAGATGAGATAACTGGGGATATGAAACCTAAGTCTAAAAGTAGAATTTGTGCTTATTTCTTGTGCACCTTATACACGAAGCCTGAAGGTAATTTGAAAATTATTTTAAGTGTATGGGTGTTTTGCTTGCATTTGTGTCTGTTCACCAATTGTCAGGTCCGCCAGAACTGGAGTTTTAGATGGTTGTGAGGTGCCGTGTGGGTGCAGGCAACCAACCCCAGATCCTCTGGAAGTGTTGTAGAGGTGCTCTTAACTGCTGATCTGTCTTACCAGCCCCCGATGCACCATTTTTGATGTGCTTGTTTTTGACAGTGCTCTGTCTTAAGGAGTCAGCTATATAATTTTTCACTTGAGGTGCCTGTCATGTTGAGAATCAAGGAGCTTTTTGGTTTGGGAACATTTTGGACTTTGGGTTTTCAATGAGTGATTCTTGGCTTGTGTTGACTCAATTAATTCTACTTTGTGATGAAATATAATTTTTCTTTTTAAAACATTAACATGTGCAGGTGTTTTGACTGCATGTATGTCTGTCTGTGTACTATGTGTATACACAGTGCCTGTGAAGATCAGAAAAGGGTGCTGAATCCCAGGAACTGGAGCTACAGAGCATTGTGAACAACCATGTGGGTACTGGGATTAGAACCTGGGTCCTCCGGAAGAGCAGCAGTTTTCTAAACCGCTGGGCCATCTCTCCAGTTGTAGATACTATTTTCATATTCAGATATTCAGATAAGGAAACTGAGTCTCTGAGAGGTTCAGTGACATTGCTGGACTCATTTTAGCCAGCAAGTGCTTGTATTAGTGGCTTCTCTTGGTGCTGTCACTAAATCCCTGACAGAAAGCAATTCAAGGGAGGAATGGAATTTTGGCTCATGGTTCAGGGGACATAGCCCATCATAGCGAGGAAGACATGGTGGCAGGAGATGAGGTAGCTGGTTGAATCACATCCACAGTCAAGAAGAAGGAAGGGACTGCAGTTGTCAGCTACCTTCCTCCTGTTACCCTTTGTGTCTAGCCATGGATCAGCCTGTGGAAACCCAACTGTATTTAAGGAAGGTATTCCTTCCTCACTTAAGACCTTTCTGGAAATTCTCTCCTTGACATGGTTGGAAGTGAGTCTTTTAGGTCATCCTAAGTCTAATCAAATTGATCATGAAGATTAACAACCACAGTGGTGAAGTTGAGGGTTAAATCTCGGCTTTAGCCTTTGGAGGCCCTTCTCTCTCTCTCCTCTGCCCTTCCTTTAGCCCCATCATAAATGGGAAGAGGAAACATTCACCGGGTGGGGTCGGGGAGACTGAAGAGCAGTTAGAGAGCCAGCTGGCTTCATGTCCAGGGGAAGGCGGGAGCAGGAAGCACTGCAGTAGCCCTTAGCTCACAGTAGGCTTTCTACCTGTGACTGATGGTGGTGGTTATGGGTGGCGCTGAGGAGGTTTTTGAGGTGGGTCCAGGACTCACACTGAAAGACCCATGCAGTGACCAGCTACCTCCTCCAGGGGGCAGTGCTCAGGACATTCCCGTTTGGTGATCTGCTTACCTTTCCCTATCAACCCTGGAGGCTTTGGAACGTGCCATATTTGTAGACATGGTATTACTCAAGTCTTGAGTGCTCTTCTGTTTGGAATCTTTTTTTCTGGGTTTCCATTTGTGTGTGTGTGTGTGTGTGTGTGTGTGTACGCGAGTGCATACGTGGCACAGTGTGCATGTGGTCGGAGGACAACTTACACAAATCCGTTTTCTCCTTCCGCCATGTGATTCCCAGAGATCGAACTCAGGTCATCAGGCTTGGCAGCAGGAGCAACCGTTGCCTGCTGAGCCATTTGCCAGCCCTCTTCCAGGCTTCCTTATGGCTTGATTTCCTCTGCTGTACTTCTGCCTCTTTCTCAACAATTTGAATACCCCACACGTTTGTGCTAGCATTTCTCAAACATTGTAATCTCTCACGCCTCTGGGACTTTTTGTATGCCTCCCCCTCTGCACGTCACACCTCTCCCCGACCTCCCCTTCCTGCCTGACAGGATCACCTTTTCTCAACTTTGATGCTTTGAATCGCATGGAACTTCATTACTCTCCCCACTTTGATCCCAGCACTCTGGTCTTGCTTCCTTAGTATCCCCCAAGGTACTTTCTGCACCCGTGTCTGGCAGTGTGGCTCTCATAGTCTGTTCCTCTAGTCACTGAAAGATAGCTATACATTTCTTCCCTTCTTGTTCCCACTGAGAACGACTTATACATATAGAATGTTGTATGTCATTATGAGGTTTCTGGGACTGGTTTGTAAGAAGCCTTGCAAATTTCTTCTAGAGACTTGGAGCTGTCACATTTGAGATGCAGCTGACATAGGGCAAGATACTCAGGTCACATAAGGATGCCACTCAGAATGATCCTGTTGACAGTCCCAGAGCAGCACCTGGCCAAATGTCAACTTCCAGCTGTGTGAGACAGCCATCTTGGGTATCTGGGCCAGTGTACCTTCATATGACTGAAGCCCTTGCTCCTGTTCAAGACTAGAGTCTAATGACAGTCCCCAAGCAAGAGCTGCTAGCGGAGCCCAGTCAACCCACAGAAAATAATGCAGTTTTAAGCCATTTGGTTTCTGAGTGGTTTGTTTTGGGTACAATAGGTGATGGGATCAGTCAACCTCATCAGACCGAAGCAGGGATGATGTCACTCGTCACTTGAGAGCTCTGGTGTTAGACCAGGTAAGGAACATCTAATATATATATATATATATATACATATATATACATATATATATATATATATATGTATGTATGTATATATATGTATATATATATATATTTGTTCACTCTGAGATAGAATAGGCTTATTAGCAAGGGGTAATTAGGAAACATACATTTTTACAAAAATGGAAAAAAAATTTTTTTTCAAACAAGCTGTAAGTTGAAATATTTTGGGCTTGAAATAGGATTCTCATCCCACTAGGTACTGCTCACAGAAAACATTGCTGTAGTGGAGCATGCCTGCCCCTTCTGAGTGAACCTGGATTCTCTCTACTGTACAATGTAAAAAGAACATCATGGCCATCTTCACAGACTAAACACTACCTTATTATATTCCTGCTAGAAGGCATTTAGACAAGACTACAGTATATGCAATAAAAACACTCCGTTATTGATTTCCTAATTCTACGTCATGGGACTAATTAACACAAGGTATACAGACTCAGGGTATCTCAACATAAGCTTGTGGTGACTGCCAGGCAGTTGAAAGAGAAGTGACATTTTTGTCATTTTTGTGTTCCTGACCTCACAACTTAGTGTTAGGATTACGTTTTCCAAGAGAACTTCTAGGGACACACCCACTTCTACTGAGTCTGCTTTTCATGCTATCTGCTGTTCATCCTAGAGCAGAGAGAGCATGGTGCTAGAAGCGGTGGTGTTTGGTGCAAGGGGCATGGCTCTCATCAGAGAGGACTGACTCCCTTCAAACCAGGTTTACTAGGAGACAAGTGGGGACTGTTGAGAGCTGTGATTTTGGCTGATGAAGCTGCTTTGGAAATTGGCATCACTGTCAGCATGAAGAGGTGTCAAGGACTGGACTTGCAGGTATGGCTTTTCCCTCCCTCCTCTCCCTCTCTCTCTCCCCCACCCAGTTATAATGACCACATGGAACATGCTGAGAGGATGCCTGGGAAGTCTGAGCCAACCCAGGGGCCTGGACTGGGAGGGATGAAGCAGGACTGGAGTTTGAGATTTGTGTCATATTGGTTCTGTCTCCTTTTCTGATTGAAATGAAGGATTAGAGCTGTTTATTTTATTTTGCTTTATTTTATTTCATGTATGCGAGTACACTGTTATTATCTTCAGGTACACCAGAAGGGGGCATCAGATCCCATTACGGATGGTTGTAAGCTGGGGATTGAACGCAGGACTTCTGGAAGAGCAGTCAATGCTCTTAACCGCTGGGCGGTTTCTACAGCCCCGTGGGGGTACAGCTGTTTGAAGGAACAAGCTTCAAGAGGATGAGGCAGTCTGAGAGTGCACACATCTATAGTTTTAGCGCAGACATTGGTATTTTGCTTTTACAGGACAAGAAGAGATTATATATTCTCAGAGAAGCTGAAGATATTCTCAGAGAAGCATGCGCTGAAGATATTCTCAGAGAAGCGCACGCTGAAGAACAAGTACAGAGGCAAAGAACGGTAATATAGAATATCGTATAGCGGGTGTTCACAGAAGCAGCTGGGGTTACGGCGGAGGTGGGGAGTACAGCTTCATGTGGGGAGTCTTGGTTCAAGTATGAGTGAAGCCTCATACAGACTGTCTTCATTCAACATAAATGTTTCATCCAGTAAGTACTGAATTACCTGAAATGAGAAAAAGGAACAATAGAATTGTGGCAAATCCCAGGACAATGAGTGTCTTGTGGAAATTTTCTTTTTCTTTTTTCTTTTCTTTTCTTTTTTTTTGAGACAGTCTTATTCTATAGCCCAAGGCTGGCCTGGGACTCACTATGTAGCCCAGGTTAGCCTTGAACTTGAGACCATCCCTAAATGTAGAGATTATAGATGTACATCACCATGCCTAGTGGAGCCAAACTCTTTTGTAGGCTCAGGACACACATGTGTGAGATATACTGATTTGACCTCTACTTCCTAAAGAGGCCTTGTTATGTGACAAGGCCAACTTTGTCTTCTAACACAAGATCCCTTGCCTCAGCTTCCCAAGAGCTGGCACCACCATATTTGGCTGTGTTAATATAACTTTTTCTTTCTATCTCCTCGTCCTCGTCCTCGTCCTCGTCCTCCTCCTCCTGTTTTTCAAGACAAGGTTTCTTTGTGTAACAACCTTGGCTGTCCTGGAACTCACTTTGTAGACCAGGGTGGCCTCGAACTCACAGAGATCCACCTGTCTCTGCCTTCCTAGTTCTAGGATTAAATGGGTGCACCATCACAGCCAGCATAACTTTTTTTAAAAATTATGTTTTAAGATTTATTTTGTGTGTATTTTGCTGCAGTTGGAATTACTGAGTTATACCTAGAGCTCCTGTATTCTCTTAATAAACAGTCTTAATAGTAATAAACCTCACGTGGTAAGAATGAGCCTTGACTGCTTTTCTTTCTTTTTCTTTCCTTTCTTCTTCTTTTTTAGTTGATCACTTGAGGAAATGTTCTGGGCTCGAACAAAGCAAACGACTCCTTGAAAAGGCCAATTGTTGAATCTAAGTGACAGGTTGACAGGTGTTCACAATTCTTTCAATGTTTTAGTTTGAACAGTCCCTTACCAATGTCCCGTGGATATGTTCACACACACGGTAGGATTAAACAGTACTGTGAGACTCATCTCAAGCAGGGCTGTCTCAGGGAAAGGCCTGTGTGGGCTCCCGTGGCTGAGACTGAGGCAAAATGGTAGCATGAAATATTGAGAATGGTCACTGTGGGAAATTCAGTTGTCTTTCTTTGGGCTTGTCCACTTTACTCCTGATTCTAAGTCTTTGCTGAGTTCCTGCACATTCAATGAGAGATCAAAGCTCTGACCTTACAGGAATCCCCTGGATCCAAGGTTCATGTATTTGTCAGGTTGGAAGCAAGCATGCCTTTCTTCCTCCACAGAAACCAAGAGCAAGAAGGAAAAAGAAATGACACCCATATTCTGTGCTTGAAAGTCTAATGATAGCTACTTCAGGGGAAATCAAGCCTGTTGCTTTTGTCTTGGTGAACTGACTTGGGCACCATGAAGGTCAGAAGCATCTGGATGCTGATTGATAGTACCAGATGAAATTATTTCTATACCTTATCAACAGCTCACACCCTGCATATCTAGAAGGAAGACCTTTCATCTGGCATCACTCAGCCCTGTAGGTGAAGACAGGGTGACTTATGCCTCATCAAATGAACTAGTCTCCTAGCCCTAGCCAGTAGCTTCACATAAGGAGATCCTTCTAGAATATATTAGTGTACTCTGCTCCCAGAGCAGACTAGCCCATCCTTTCCATGTGAGCACAGAGTGCAATTTCCCTGAGATGTTTTCCTTGAGCTGAAGACTGGTGGCAAAGCCATCCTTGCGGAGACACTCAGGAGGTTTAAAGGAGCAGAAGTATCTTTTTGGTCTGAACATCAGAGCTTGGGAGAAAGTTAAAGTGGTGGCAGGAGAAAGAAGAGAGCCTTGAAATTTTGAGGATAACTTCTGAGACTTTCAAGGGTGCTGTGTTCACTATAGTGTTTTCCAGATACAGTGTGTGAGACACTAACATAGTTCCTCCAAATGCTGCTGAATTTAAATGGATAGTTATGTCTTAATATTACTATTTTCTATGTGTGTATGGTATGGGTGTGTGTGTGTGTGTGTGTGTGTGTGTGTGTATGTGTGTGTGTGTGTGACAGAGAGAGAGAGAGAGAGAGAGAGAGAGAGAGAGAGAGAGAGAGAATATGTATATGAATGTAGGTATGTGCATGCAGAGGCCAGAGGACCTTTTTCATCCATCCTTGTCCTCTTAGGGTTTCTTCTTTACTGTGCTCTGCTGTGAAGTCAGCTTAGTTGGCCAGTGTGGTGGTTTGAATAAAAATGGCCTCCATAGGCCCATAGGAAGTGGCACTATTAGGAAGTGTGGCCTTGGAGTAGGTATGGCTTTGTGGGAAGAGGTGTGTCACTAGGGGGTAGGCTTGAGGTCTCAGAAGCGCAAGCTTGGACAATGTATCACTGTCACTTCCTGCTGCCTATGAATCCAAATGTAGAACTCTTAGCTACCTCTCCTGTACCATGTCTGCCTGCATGCCACTGTGCTTCCTGCCATAGACTAAACATCCAAACCATAAGCCAGCCCCATTTAAATGTTTTCCTTTATAAGAGTTGCTGTGGTCATGGTGTCTCTTCACAGCAACCCAGCCCTAACTAAGATAGCCTGACTGTCTGGAGATTTTCTGGCTTCTGACTTCCAGTCATAAGAGTCAGAGACACTTTGTCTCCCATTTTTGTCATAGAAACATGGTGCTTAGGAACACACCGTGAACAGGAACTGTGACTGGATCTTATGGGCTTTGGGGATTTGAACTCAGGTCCTCATACTTATACAGCAAATTGTTTTACTTGCTCAACAAGTGGGTTCTCAACCTTCCTAATGCTGGACCCTTTAATACGGTTCCTCATGTTGTGGTGATCCCAGTCCTAAATTATTATTATTTTTTTTCGAGACAGGGTTTCTCTGTGTAGCCCTGGCTGTCCTGGAACCCACTCTGTAGACCAGGCTGACCTCGAACTCAGAAATCCGCCTGCCTCTGCCTCCCAAGTGCTGGGATTAAAGGCGTGCATCACCACTGCCCAGCCCTAAATTATTTTTGTTGCTACTATATAACTGTCATTTTGCTACTGTTAAAAATTGTAATGTCAATATCTGTGTTGACAGATGGTCTTAGGTGAGTGACTCTTGTGAAAGAGTTGTTTGTCCCCAAAGAGGTTGCGATGCACAGGTTGAGAACTACTGCGCTAGGCCATCTCCTCAGCCCTTAATATTATTTTTTATTATAGGCTAAATGATGTCACTCAATTGGTAGATTTGATTATAGGCTGATGATGTTACTCAGTTGGTAGAATGCTTGCCTAGCATGCTAAAGGTTAATCCTAGCCCCCAGGAAGTTTCTAGATATGGTGGGAGGCAGAGTGAGGCCAATCTCTATGAGTTCAAGGCCAAGCTGGACTACATATTGAGCTCCAGGACAGGCAGAGCTTCATACGGAGACATTGTCTTAAAAAAAATTAAAAGTACAGAGACCACATATATTTTTGGGCTAGACTGTGTGTGTGTGTGTGTGTGTGTGTGTGTTCTGGAGTCTGAACTCGGGGCCTACACTCTTAGCATCTCTGGATGGAATCATCTTGAGTAGCATGCTTCCTCAGCCATGTGTTCCCTAGTTTAAGAGCCATCTTCTTATAAAGCATCTCTATGACAGTCAGGATATGTAACTGCCAGACAATGGTATTTATCTGATATAAAAGTCATATTCAAATTTCAAGTGCCCTTTAAATCTTCAGAGTACTTGTATGTTGTTATTATGTGTGTATATGTGGTGTGTATGCGTGTGTGGGGCATTCATATGCCATGGTGTGCGTGTGGATGTCAGACAACAGCTTTTTGGAGTTGGTTCTCTCTTTGTGGGTTTTGATGTCCTTTAACCTAGGGTAATATCCCCTGTATGCGTGTGTGTGAGTGTGTGTGTGTGTGTGTGTGTGTATGTGTGTGTGTGTGTGTTTGGTTGACTTTTTCTTTTTGCTTTATCCCAGGGCCTCAATCACGCTAAAGAAGCATTCTGCTACTGATTGCTTCTGTGGTTTTACATTTTTTTTAAATCTATTTCCCTCTAGAGTGCAAATTCTTGAGGACAAGTACTGTGCTTCATGGCCTGAGACAGTGCTGGAATCACAGTACTCCTATAAATATGTGTCTATTGAATAAATGAGCGGCCCAGCTTGCTGTCCATAGATCTTTTCTACATGGTGGAACAGAACATGGCACAGAATTAACTTTTGCTGTCGTTTTTCTGAGACAGGGTCTCTCTCTCTCTAATGTAGCTATGGCTGTCCTGGAACTCACTATGTAGACCAGGTTGGCCTGCCTTGAATGCACTGAGATCCACCTGCCTCTGCTTCCTCAGTGCCAAGATTAAGGGTCTATATCATCATGCCCAACAACACTTTTTTCTTTTTTTTTTTCTTTTTTTTTCTTTTTTTGGTTTTTAGAGACAGGGTTTCTCTGTGTAGTCCTGGCTGTCCTGGAACTCACTCTGTAGACCAGGCTGGCCTCGAACTCAGAAATCTGCCTGCCTCTGCCTCCCAAGTGCTGGGATTAAAGGCGTGCGCCATCACTGCCCGGCCACTTTTTTCTTCTTTCTTTCTTTTTATTTTTGAGATAGGGTTTCAGGTATACAGGCTGGCCTCAAATTTTCCATGTAGCCAAGAATGTTCTGGAATTTCTTGATCCTTTGCTTTCACCTTTTAAGTGCTGGGATTACAGGTCCATGCCATCATGCCTGCATTTATGTCAGGAATCTATCGTAGGGCTTTATGCATGGCTAGGCAAGTACTCCACCATCATTACCAACTCCAACACAAGATTGGGTTTGGTTAGTAGCAGAGAAAGACTACAATGAGCTAGATGTCCATCCACATAAAGGACTGGTGAGAGGAACGGCTCTCTCTGCAGCTTTAAAGAAGGATACAGACACTCTGTGATGGGAAGGAGTGACTCCAGACAAAAGGGGAAACAACGGTGCTGGGCCATGGACGGCAAGTGACATCATAGTAGAAAAAACATTCTGTGTTTATGGACTGGCCCAGATATAGACTTGAGAAGAGGATACTCTTGTCTTTGAGAGAAAAATCCTGTGACTTCTGCAACTTGGAAGTAGAATACTTTCAAGAACAGAAGTATCTGGAACTGGGGATATGGCTCAGTTTCCTGACTTCCATTTGCAAAGTCTCAGCTTTGAGCTTCAGCATCACACAAAAAGAGCATGGTAGTGCCTGCCTATTTTCCTAGCCCTTGGAAGATGGAGGAGGCAGAAGGATCACAAATTCAAGGTAGTCTTTGGCTACATATTGATTCTGAGGCAGCATGGGCTACATGAGACTTTGAAAAAACGTCAATCAAAGGCCAGTTTACCAATTTACCAAGCTGATCAAGATGGCCCAGCTGGTAAAGGCACTTGATGACAAGGCTTGTGATGGAAATTTAATTCCTGGAATTAATATGGTGAAAGGAGAAAAGTGACTCCTACAAATAGTCCTCTTATTTCCACAGGCACTGTGGTATGTGTATATGAACACACACATACATGCATGTACAGCCTGTAAACCAAAAAAACAAGCAAAACCATAACTAACCAACGAACCAAAGGGGATGTTTGGAGCCACTCCTCTAGTCTTGTGGGAGAGCAGACATTGATTTAAGCCACCCTGTGGGGTGTCAAATCAGGCAAGAATTATAAGCTTGCTTAATGGCCAGGGAACAGGAATAGGGATGCTTTCCTTAAGGAAATGGCATAGTTAAGCTGGACCATGAGGATCCTGGAAGGGATGAGGGAAGATGCTTTGGGAAAGGGCAGAAGTCTATGCAGACAGCACCACTGTGAAGGAAAGGAGAGACCTCTTACCTTTGGCTGGGGCTGGATGTTGTAGCTACTCTGCTGAAACTGGCGAATCTCTCGGATAATATGGGAGATCTGCAGGAAGGCAGAGTTGTTTTAGAACAGTCTGTTCTCTTGTGTTGCCTTGTGGATGGAAAGGTCATGGGTAGCTATATCTGAAGTCATACTGACTCCTGGAAAACTCTGCTGGCTTTCTTTACACCAGCCTCCTGTTTCTGAGGTGAAATCTGTCTGTGTGGGGGATAGCTGTGCTAATGTGTGTGTGCATGGGGCATGCGTGTGTGTGTTTTAAAGAGAACTCCCTTAGTTAGGTCTGCAGATTTCCCAACACTACTACAACCAAATGTCAGGCTGCCAATTAGAGTGGGTGCCAGATATGTGGGTGTCTAATGTGTGCATGCTAGGATGCAAAACATAAGGGCTTCCATCCGTCACCAAGATGGAGTTCCTCATTTGTGTTTGAAAGATAATAAAATTCAAATAAATTGAATTTTATTAATGCATAAGCCCATTTTACAAAATGGGTGCAAATTGAGGCTCTGTAGTTGGGGTGAGTGAGAGACATGGACAGCTAGGAGTCCTGTGCCTGCTCAGAGAGGTCTCCTTAGATCCTCTCACCCTTGTCTCAGGGATCTTTTGGAGAAGATTTGAAATTTGCTTTCTTGGGTGGTATTGCAGAGTGATTTTTCCATAGTTGCACAAAACAAGCATCTCTGTGGCCATTAAAGGGTGAGACGTGAGGACGAGGTGGGCTTTGAGGTCAGATCCAGCTCTTCTTTCTATATAGGTGGGGATCTTGAGTTGGTATCTTGACCTAACCCATCTTCCCCTTGTAGGGAGGGATGCTAGGACGAAGTGGGAAAGGCAGGAAACACAGGGCTAAGGACATTAGCATCAGCCATGGTTTTTTTATTGGAGGCCTTTTAAGCCAAGCACAGGCTGTGCTGGGGCTGAGGCTGGGTAGTTCAGTCTGGAGTGAGTTGTGCCCCCATTCGCCAGGGAGACTTACCATCCTCATCTTGGAGAAGTTGATCAGGCCTTCCTCTGTGTAATTGGGTGTCCCCTCCTCGATGAACACCAAGTCGGTGAGATATATCCCCAGGTAAGGAACACAGGGTGGATCACATCTTGGAAAGAAATAGCATTCACAAAGTTTTTTACTTAAGGAAAGGAACTTCTGCTAAGAGCAGAGCACTCTGCATGCAGATCTTGCCTGGCTAGAGGCAAAGGCATGTATAGTTATGAAGACCCACAGGGCACACACAGGCCTTGATAGACACCCCCAGCCAGGCTGGAGGGAGGGATAGTATGGAGCTATCTGTGCCCTCATGCGCAGGCTAGGAGAAGGGGTCTTACTTGAATCTCCTCCCTCTGTGACCCAAAATGCCTTTCTTTACTTCTCTGGCATATGCCAGTGGAGTTCCCCAGCTGTTTCCAGCCACCTCCTGGTTCACAGGTTTTTCCACCGTTATTCTGTGTTCAGTCACCTCTGGGAAGGCTGTGCCACCCATGCCCAAGTTCCAGCAGTCACTCAGTGCGGCGTTCCCAAGACCTGTCTTCTTGTCACCTAGGTTTGAGGGCCACAGCAGGAAACCCTGGCCCTCTGACCATTTTCCTGGAAGTGTCTTCTGGAAAGGGTGGGTGATTCTCAGGGTCTGTAGTTACAAGAGACTCTGGTGTGATGGACTAGGCCTCTGACGTGTAGCTCTGAACATGGTCTCATTTCTGTGGACCATGGCAGCTTTCTGGTGCCTTGGGAGGGTTCAGAGGAAGGAATGATGGAGTGAGAAGCCCCTACCCCCTTCCCTTCAGCAGCTTTGAGGTACTCCTGAGATAGCACAGCATGGCAACCTCCTCTCAGCTCAGCACAGAGATGCCAGAGGAATTGTTCCTCTTGCCATGGTGGAGGAATGTGAGGTGCAGACCTTGAACCTGCCTCCATCTCCTCTGTGCTGGGACTAAAAGTGAATACCATCACATTTGATTTTTTTTTTAATTGTTTTTGCTACCGGATCTCTCCCTTGCTGTCCTGACCATTGAACCTGATTTTATTGGTGCTGGGGATCAAACCCAGAGAACTAAGTAAGCACTCAACTAACTAAGCTACATTCCCAGACTAAGATATGACATTCTGCCTAGGAGGTCATCAATAGGTAACTATCTAGTAAGAGTGTTCTAGAACAAAGATATAGCATTGTCCCACTGCTAAGAGTTAATCCAAATGGATCCGTCAGTCACTTGGACAGGGACTGCTTTTTAGGAACCTGTTCCAGAGATCTTTTAGAGTGTGATTCCTATCTAAGTATGTAGGTTACCACAGTGGTCCTCTTCTTGTTCATTCTCATCCCTTGGGCATGTATCTTAAACTCCACAATGAACTCTATAGGTCTCTATATGTCTTCTACACTGCACTGTGAATCCTGTCTGAATTTTTTTTTTTAAATGGAAATCACTAAGACCAGTAAGGTGAGTGTCCAGAGTAAGAAACCAGTGACAACATGTTGAATAAGATTCCAGGGATTTATGAATGGGGTGGGGACCCACATGCGAGAGCCACTACAAGACTCTTTGGGTGGGTCACCATTTCGGCCTGAAGACTGTTGTCAGTTAACTATCTTCTGCTTTTTGTTCCTTTCCTGGTGAAACAGATTCCCCAGCATCACTGAACATGGTTTGCTCTCCATCTTCATAGGGCAGATCCATCTTACATAAAGACCTTGGTTCCCAGAAAACCCCTGAGCTCTCTGCCCTGTGCCACAGGAAGCAGAGGGTTCTAGGGGAGGCACTTACACAGGCATACAGGTGACCTGAAAGGGAACAGTCAGGAGAGGGTCAGACAGAATGGGAGCCACGGAGACAGTTAGGTAGCAGTAGTGGTTGCGGTAGATGAGGAAGCCGTGTGAAGGAGGCGGATGGAGCAACGCCCAGAGGCAGACGGACAGTTGGTGAATGCACAGGGGCAGCTCCGTACAAGCACAGTCCACAAGGGCTCCAGAGAGCCCGGGCGGAGGAGAGACGGCCGGATAGCACAGATGGGTTCAACATCTGTCTGAGGACATAAACAAAGTTGAAATGGTCAAGGCAATGGCACACTGAGCCAGTGAAGGATGGACAAGAGGCAGGGCAGAAAGGAAGCAAGAAGAGGAGGCAGGTGAGGCTGACTGGGAAGAAGGAGTAAGCAGGGCATCCAGCCAATGTCAAGGGCTGGAGTTGTTGGTTGTCCCAGGCCAATGTACAGTATTGGGGCTCTTATTCGATCTGGTCAAGAGATTCCTTATGGAAGGGAAGAGAGTTTTCCTGGAAGTTGGAAGGACCCAGAATCTCCAAGGTCCAGCGAGAAGCCAGCCAGCCAGGAGTGAGACAGGGACAAACGAAGGTGGAACCTAGTATGGACGCCTAAAGAAACCATCTCTCAGGAGTGATAAAAGCAGAACTTTGTCTTTGCAGAGTTTACATCTCATGAGTATGTGGCCAAAGTGAGCTGAGTTGTGGCTTTCTTGTCAGCGGTACGCGAACCTCATGAGACAGTACCCAAGGCAGACTGCAGAGTACTGGTCTTAGAGACCGGCACATGCCAAATCCAGGCTCTAATGCCATGGCCACATGACCTTGGTATGTGCTCCCCATCTTTTGTTTAGGAAGACAGGATGGAGCTAGTTGTCTTAGGGTTAAGGTTCACAATGTCTGGAGATGTTTCTGGTAGTCCTAAGTGGAGAGGTGTCACTAGCATCCCACAGAGCAGGTCAGGGTGTACCTACAAATCCCACAAAGTACCAGGAAACTCTTGAACATAGAACCATCCTGGTCTGAGTGACAACAGTCCTGGAGTTTTGAAACCTACATCCCAAGAAATGTCTATGGGGTTCAATGGCAATGGCCAGGGAGGTGCCCTGCAAACTGGAAGATGAAATTATCAACTATTGGTAAAACTGCATTTCTTTGATTCTAAGATGCAACCGTTAATAATGTCTGCACTCGTTCTAATGACTATTTCTTTACATGAACAAGAAACAACTGCCTTAAATAAATTGGACACATCACTTATTGGAGTTACTAAAATGGAAAACTGCATCTAAGAATCAAGAAATCTGGCACCAACTCTAAGATCAGCAATGGATAGTTGCTCTGGCATTTCTCTGGTAGATAATGGAGGGCAAAAGTGATCGACTGTTGGGGTCTAGAGAGTCTATAGGTCTTGTGAATAGGCAGAGGGACAGGCAGACCTCCTGCTCAGACCGTTGCGTGAAGATGCCTCTGTAATACGGGCTACAATTTTAAACACAACAACGAAGATGCAGCACTTACTTTTTCAAAGTGTCTCTGAGGGTCTTAAATCTGCCATCTGTTGACACAAGCTTTTGGAGCTTGTCAAACAAAGACTTTGTCTGGAAGGAATCAGAAGCATTTAGTAACATTCAACACACATCCAGGCCCCAAACCCCAGGCTCTAGCCCATGATCCAACAAGCTGACCTTGGGGCTCCAGGCCACATTTGGATTTGGAGACTTTCTGTACCTGGCAACTACATCCCTGATCTCCTTATGAGTTAGGCTCAATCTCTGTCATAAGCGCCTCTCTTCACATACATCTCTCAGAACACCAAAGTGAGCAATGACCCTGGAGACTGGTGAGATCTTAAGAACTGGTGATTTAGAAGGACGTGGTGAAGGGAATTTGTGTTTAGAGCAGGAAATAACTAATTAGAATTTCATGGTCATAAGTTGTTTTTGTTTTCAGTGCTGGGGACTGAATCTGGGGCTTCTGTCATACAAAGTAAGTGCTATGCCATCGAGGTATATGCCAGCCTTAAGGATGTTTCCACGAGCTGGACAGAATGGATCTGACAATTTTTCACACCGTTACTCTGAATGAGCCAGGAATGCCATCCAAGGTCAAGAATTGAGGAAAAGGATGGCAGAGGAACGGATCATCCAGGAAGGAAAGGCTTGGGTGGGAAGGATGAAACGCTTGACAAAGGGTACGTAAATGATCATCCATGGCTGTGCAGGAGCATGGCAGAGAATAGGCAGCTGGCTTTGTCTGGCAAGAACAGCTGCATTCCCAGGAGAGTCTCTGTGCTTGCATCTGTCTCTGTGCTCCCTCCCCTGCCTGGTCTACAAGATGTCTCTTTGATGTATTCAATTCCCTTAGTTATAAAAGGGAGGGCGGGTGGGATTAGGATTAGCTTTTCCTGTTCAGATCTGGCCCTCAAAATCCAGAATGTAGCTGAGAAACCATGCTGAGGATGGTCATGCATCACAAGACCAGGAGTACTGATGAGTCCCAGATGGACATAATCATAGGCCACAGTGTGTGCAGTCACAGAACGTGGCAGTGTGAACGTTTATGCTGATGGATGCTCAGCGTGCGCCCTTTGACAGGGAAGACAGGGCAGAGACATTGACTGGTTTGGCTCCTTAGCTATAAAGAGTGGGAGCTCTGGTATTTAAACTGACCCTGCTCAAAGCACAAATACATTCCAATCCGATGACAGACATGTGAAAGCAGAACAGAATCTACGCCAAGTTAAGTTACGTGACTGAGTTTCCTTTAAAACTGGCTTTCAGTGCCATGAAATTTGTAGATTAATCTCTGCCAGGGTCTTGGTGACTGCCCATACTAGCTCTTCCTATGATGGTACCCTCTTCTCTCCTTGTCACTCATGTGCAGAGAAATGACCAAAGTTGGATTCAGGTCAGATGTGGGGATTTAGCAACAGATATGGGACCTTCTCAGCTCTGTTATCTACCCTCAACATGCACAAGAGCAAATTCCCATCTCTTAGATGTTCCCTAATGGGTAATCCTAGAGTAGATATGGTAGATTTTGGAAGATGGATACTCATACTTTGAAGCTATGAACATGTCTACAGGCTCTGTTTTAGTGTGTGTGTGTGTGTGTGTGTGTGTCTGATTTGTGGATGTATACAGAGGTCAGAGGACATGCCTTAGGAGCCCTCCTTCTACCATGAGCTCTGTGGATTGAACTCAGGTCACAAAGCTTACACATGAACCACTTTACCTACCAAGCCATCTCACTGGACCTATGTAGGCCACTTCTGTGTGGGCACCAGCTATGGCTCTGAGCAGAGCACAATTTTTTTCTTCAATAGCCAGATGCCTACTGTGTACATGGGCTGTTTTTGGGCTGCCATACTCTATCCAGGATAGAGTTTGGAAGGCCACGGAGCTTTCTTATTGTGTTACTAAGTACATCATGTGCTTAGGTTAGACCTAGAGCTCCCATTTTCTAATTCTCCCTGGGGTGCTAGGCCCTGGATCTTGAGGCTCTTTGGACATCAGTGGACAGAAAAGGTAGAAGCTCTAAATATTACTGGAATTAAGGAACAATCAGAGTTTACAGTCAGGAACATTGTCAAGAAGGAAGATGCTTCTGTGGCCTCCAAAATACCTCCTTTTCCTGCTTATCAAATAGAAGACATCAAGTGATGAAGAATGTCTCCTCCCAAAGAGGCCAAGGCATATAGGGAGCTGAAGACAGTCTTTTGTCTCTACAGATTCAACTTCCCTGAGGAGAGGAACCACAGGCACGTCATGTATTGTTGCTATCCCATAGAGTCACATTAGACATTTCCTCAAGGGACAGAGATTGTTTGTAAGATGATGGGGAAGGGAACTGAAAGCAGAAAGGAGAAACACAGAACTTCAAAGCACATTTGACCTTCCTGTAGGGCTGGTCTGCATTTGATATCATGTTTTATAGAATTAGGCTGACATACTGAATAAAGTGGTACACATGAGGCTTATTTCAGGGTCTTTAGGAAATGTGGCCATCTTGGTGGGTCACAAGAGCCCACAGACTACCTGCAGAGAGACAATGAACCTGGCTTTTGTTGGGGGAGCCATGCACGCTGCCTTTCAGAACCCATCAGAGCCAAGGACAGTGTAGGTGCATGACTACTGCATAGACAGAAAGGCCAGAGAAACCAGCCAGGTCAGTCTATCAGCAAAAGTTGAGGCCTGTATGTGCTTCCAGAGACACCTTTACCTTTATTAGACCAGGCCTGCTGGCTTCTGACTCTGAGTGATGTTCTAGAATGCAGGCCAGGCTGCATACACTGACCAGTAACTACTCTTGTTTTAGAATCTCATGACAGAGAACAGATGATTTCAGAATGGCCATGATCCCCATACCTCTAGACTCCATGAGGATGGTGATGTTGAGGAAATATAGCCAAGAGATACAGCATGTGCATTCTAGGAAGAGTCTCGTGGGACAGGAAGTGAAGCCCAGTCTAGAGGATCCCTGGAAAGGGTGCCATCATCCAACAGCACAGGGAGGGAGGAGTAAGATATTGAACTGGAATAGGCTCCCTATGACCCAGGCTAATCCTTGACAAGCCATATTGACTGAGAAGACTTGAGGCTTTTGCAGGGTTTTGTTCAACCCCTGACTTCAGTTTATGATAGCATGTTTCTGTGTGGTCAGTTGTCCCTGAAGTTCCCAGCTTCTATTCTTTCATGGAGTTACTAACAATAAAGACATCTCCCATGGCTCATCTGGGCATCAAGTGTGCCAATGAGGAAGAGGCCCTGTCTCACTGAGATGTAAAGGGTGGTCCTATAGACTCTAGCTCAGTTGTAACCAGGGGCTGGAGTGCCTTAAGGGGAAGGACCGAAGACGGGCACAGGACAAAGCTTTCCTGGTTTGGATGCATATCTAGGTGGGAAGATTTATATAGCTGGTGAGTGCTAGTGAGTACGGTCACAACCTGCTTCGGGCTCCAGGAAGATAACAGGAGACAGGCAATAAAGGGAAAATGAAGGGGATATAGAATGCAGATCTAGAGGGCTGCAGATGGGCAGCCTCCGTGATGATGCTGGGTCCTGCAAGGCTATCTCAGCTGAAAGAACACAGGTGCCACTGTCACATTATAAATGGCTTTAGAGGCTTACTGGTGGTGCTTATCTATTCTCCTGCAGACGTGCCAACCAGGGTTGGGGCACCCACCAAGTTCACCAAGGAAGTGCTGAAGTGTCTTGTAGTGTGCTCTGTTAAGGAGACTTGTCCTTATGAGCTACCCCTCACGACCCTTGTGGACAGAACTTTATTGCGTAAGAAGATCCATCTTAATGCCTTTTCAGAATCATGCTCCATATGAAAAGAGATCAAATTTAGATTTAAGATTATCAATTATCCAGTAGATTACAGTTATCCAGAAGCCTGGTGAAATGGGTATCTTAGAAGGGAAAATCTTAGCTACTCTTCAAATCTTGGTTGGGAGTCATACAAAGTTATTGCTGTTGTCCCAAACAATAATTGCTGCCTTATGGTTCCCACTGTGGAATCTTAATTGCTCAAGTAGGAACTGAAGTTTCACTGGTCCACTGCCACAGCTGTGCGCTGGATATCTGGTCTTAACTGACACTGTTTTCCTGGAAATCTGATTCCTCGGCTCAGTCCTTTGCTCACACCTGATGATTCAGGCTTCCCTGCTCCCAACCCCAGCCCAGGCCCATCTGGTAGCAGTGCCAACTTTCTATCCGTACCTGCTTAGAAACTTTGAGCCATGTCTTTTGGAGTCGGAAGATTGCACTGCGGTTGATGGAGGAAGTGACCTCCAGCACAGCATTGTAGTTCTGGAGGCAGCGGCATATGTCGGCCACAGCCACCCACTTCTCGATGGCATTTGCCCTCAAGTTGATGTCCTCAATTCGGATAATTTCTGAAGCAATGAAGTCACTGACCTTTAAGCCAATGAAATAAGATAGGAAAAAAGTATGAGAAATAAGTATTGTAACCATAATAAATCATTATTTACAGACACAATTTCTTGTTAAAAATCCCCAAACAATGAACTGGAAAACGATCAGAACAAATGCTTAATATAAAAAAGGAGACATTGCCCTATAAATTCGTGATGCTCAATTAAAAAACACAATGAAACTGAGGGTGGTAGCAATCCCAGTACTTAAGACGTATAGGCAGGAGGATCTCAAGTTTGAGGCCAGCCTGAGCTACATAGTAAGACCTTACCTCGATAAAATAAAATAAAAACAAATAAGCAAAAAATATAATGACAAAGGTTTTTGCCACCCAAATAACAAGAGATCTATGAATTACCTTGGAACTTAAGTTAGTGAGAACCACGTAGGATGTTTCATGGGAGAAAAAGGTTATTGAAGGATGAACAATGCTTGAATAAGTACCATTCTTTCATAACTAACTTATGAGTTCAATGTAAAACAGTTAAACATCCAGTGAAAATTGTTTTGGAACTTGATAGAGTAATTCTAAAGTTCATGTGGAAGAATAAACACTTATGACAAGCCTGATTCTGAGAGAACTTCCCACCATGTTCCCTACTGGAATAGGATACATACTTGGTCTCACATATGCAGTAGACTAGACTTCCTTGGAATCCTACACCCTGCCAACAATCACATTCACACTAACAAGTTACATGTGAGTTAGAACTGGCGTGGCTAAGGGGTTGGGAGCCGGGCCCACACATCACAGAACTAGAAATGCAAGGAGCTGGGGAATCAGGAAACATCTGCTTCCCTGCCTGTTGCCTTGCATCTATAATATTCTAGTAAAACAGAAAGTAAATGAAGTATAATAACAATAATGATAATAATAATATATGAAAGCACTGCAATGAAATAAATGTACTTATTTGTATGCTAGTAAAAATTAATAAAGTCTTTCAAAAGGTAAAAAAAAGACTTGTTATTGAAAAAAAACAAAGATGTTAAGGGACAATTACATGTAAACAAGTAGAGCCATACTACCCAGAAACCTTCTCTAAATCAGTTGCTATGACACAGATGCCAGTGGAAGTTGAATTTTAATTTTTTTACATTTTTTATTTATTTCTATGTGTATGTGTGCACGCAGGAAGGTGGGTTGGCATATTCCACGGTGCATGTGAGAACAACTTGAGGTACTTGGTTCCCTCCTTCTACCCTGTGGGTTCCAGTATGGAACTCGGGATATCAGCTTTGGCAGCTGGTTTTCCCACTGATACATCTTGTTAAAGTAATTAAAATATCTTTCCACATAGAAAATACTGGGATAAAAACCTTTTAAAAAGAACGAAAATAAAAAGAAAAACATTTTTTTTTTTTAAAAAAAGAACAGGTCAGTGATACAGTCAGTGATACAGGAGAGAGAAACAAAAAGAAAACTTGTTAATGTATTCTACAAAGCCACCACTGTGCTTATTCTAGCACCAGAGACAGGCAACACAAGAAAGAAAAATCAGATATCCAGTTATTTATATGGTATGGCTGTGTTAGGCTTGTGCCCGAGGCACAGGACCTTTGAAGATTAGAAAATCTATGTAATTCTCATTACCATATCAGTGGATTATAGGAAGGAGGAATCAGATGACCACCTCAGATGACCACCTCAGCAGCTGTAGAACGAGCTTTGAATGAAAGTCAATTTATGAGTTGGTGAGATGAGTCAACGGTTAAAAGCACTTGCTCTTGCAGAGGACCTGGGTTCAGTTCCCAGAACCCACATTATGTTGCTCACAACCTGTAACTACAGTTCTAGAGGATCCGATACCTTCTCTGGCCTCTGTCAGTGTTTTCATGAATGAGGCACATCTTGTTAAAGTAATTAAAATATCTTTCCACATAGAAAATACTGGGACAAAAATATCCTCAGGCCTACACACATACATATTAAAAATAAATAAGAAAAATTAAAATGTCAATATTCATGGTAAAAATTATTGTCATTCAAGGAATAGAAAGGCATTTTTTTTTCTAATTTTATCTCTTCTTACATGGGGAAAGAGCAAAAACTTTTCCTGTAAAAGCAAGAACAAGGCCCACAGTCTCCATCTGCATTTCACGTTGTCCTGGGGACAATTGGGGCAACTGAGGCACCAGGGTGTAAGTGTGGAGGGTGCGTGGCTCCTTCTGTTTTACACCCTGGATGCATGTCTGTCTCACTCAAGTCTGGTCCTTATGCTGGAGACCCTAGCAAGCACCAATCAATAGCACATAGACTTTATAGAAGCGAAGGGATAATAGAAGATTAACCTATGACATAGATTAAGATACCCCGTGGCACAGAGGCACGCATACTATCTCTGAGCAGTGTGATGGTTTGAACAGAGATGCCAAGTGCCAAACAGTCACAAGGGCAGCCTCCAGAGGACTGTGTGAGTTCAAAGGGGGAACTTTTCTATGTCACATGGACAGTACCATTTAATCTCTTTCAGCTTCAGTTTCTTCCTCTATAGACTCAGTGTCATGGGTTAAAAAAGATGGGAAATCAACTCTACAGTTATCAATGAATGCCCATCCTATCCCTGGCCTGCACTTACTCCGTCATGGGTACACAGAGTTCTGGGGCCAGGCTGCACCTTTCTCCCTGGCACTGCAATACTGTGCCCTCCTCATTTCTTCCTGGCTGACAAGGGCACTCCTGGATGATGTTTGCCAGGGAACTATTTTTGCTGGGGTTGACATACGATGTTGTCTGTGGCCAGGATAAATGACATCATGTGCTCCCACCTCTGACCACAGAAGGCTCTTTACTTGTGTTGATTAAACTAGAGAATGAAGCTGTTGTATGCAAATGTTCTCAGAGCTGGTACAAGGCCAAGAGAAGAGGAGTCCCATGGATGCAGAGATTTGAGTACCATGTGGGGAAATTGCTGGGAGAGACTTTTTTTTCAGTGCTGAAGACCCAGCTCAGGGCCTTGTATGCACTAGTTAAGCACTCCAGCACTGAGCTACATCACCACCCCTTCATTTTCTTTTGAGATAAGATATTGTTAGGTAGCCTTGGTTGGCCTTGAACTTGTTACCCTCCTGCCTCAGCCTCCTGAATGTTGGAATTATAGATATCTGCACAGGAGTATTTTTTTCCTCTCTCATATAATCATCATCCATTGTGCGACAATGGAACACACATGTGGGGCCACAGGCCAATCACCAGACCCTTTCAGACTTCTGCAGTTCAGGATCTTGAATGTGAGAGGAGCCCCCATCTCCTAGGGATGATGTAAACTTTAAATGAGATTGCTATACATACAGAACATGGTGCTAGGCAGTTATGTGAAATCTTAGAGGCTATTTTTATTAAAGAACTTTGCAAGTGCCCCTAGTAACCACAAGCCTTCCCCAGAAGGCTCTGAAGGCTGTTTAGCCCCTGTTCTCTGGGAAGAGATCCTGAGAACATTTTGTGTGTGTGTGTGTGTGTGTGTGTGTGTATGTATGTCTGTGTCTGTCTGTCTATGTGTGTTGCACCAGTCAGCTCAAGCCCTTTTTGTCACTCACACAGGGTCACCTTTCTGCTTTTGTGTTTTGTCCCCTCTTAACTGATCTCCTTCAGAAAAGCCAATGGTGGAGAGAGTACTGGGAGGTGGGAACTGAGGAGCCAGATGCAGGGCTATCCCAACTCTGTCCAGTGGCAGTCTCAAGCCTTTGGCTTAAACCCAGCCTTGTTCTCAGCATCTCTGGGGTCTCTAGTCTCTTCAGTGCTAACTTGTGGAGCGATCTTACATACCACACAAGGAAATGTGGTGGCTAGCACATCACACCATCCTGTCTAGGGTACATGAAACTCCTAGACGACATTTTGGAAAGTCAGAAGGGTTTGGGTAATGCTCATATCAGAGAGAAGTTGTTGGGTATTTTCAGGCTCATTTTGCTTCTTTCTAAGGCTGAGATGAGCTAAGAAAATAAGAAACACAACAAGAATGCTTTGGGTCTTTTCTGTCCAACCCTTTCTCCTTTCCTTTCTGTCCAACCCTTTCTCCTTTCCATCCTTTCTTCCCCTGGTCTGCTGTGACCCCACTCTAAGGAGTTGTGGTGACTACAGGCCTGAAGAGGCTTCTCAGGAGCCACTGTTGGCTGATGGCTCGAGATGACTATCCCAGTTGATCCTTACACAGCCCTTCATCTGTTTAATAGGTGAAGAAACTGAGACTGAAGCGAAGCGAGTAGGCCCAGGGCTACACAGCTGAGAGCGGGGCTGCCCTCCACTTGGCCCTCTGGTGGCCTTACCAATGAAAAGCCTGGCAGAAAGGCACTGAGACGAGCATGCGTACTCACATGGTTGAAGTGTCTGGTGGTTTTCATGATGTAAGGTGTCTTTTCATACTTCTCGTCTTTCATCCAGCCCTGGCCAAAGAATTCCCTGCAGGGAAAGGAAAGGGGAACCCAGAGAAGATGAGATTAGCTCTGCTGTACTCATTCAGTGCTGGGTTACTCCTTTGCTTTTGGAAGTGATCATTTCTAGGGGAGCAGCCTTCTGCAGAGTCCTAGAGAGGAAGGAACCTTGAGCTCACACCCAGTTCTGTGACGCCCTGTTTCAGTGGGGGTGCTTTCAGACAAGTGTTTTGCATCTTAGGTTCTTTCCTCATCTGTGAAATGGGAGGCCATAGTGAGACTGGAAGGAGATTGGGGTAAGAGATGGCCGAGCACAGCAGGTTTTCCTATGGATCGTGTTTCTACATTTTAGTAGTGAAGAAAGTTGGCCCTGGCTACACAGCCGAGGGTGGGAGCCAGAATATCTGGGCTTCAGAATAAGGTGATACATAGGCACCAAAGGGGTTTGATGGTAGGGTATGTGCCGAGCACGTTAAAGATCTCCAGGCCAACCCTATCATCAGGTTAGGCTACACTCATGTCTGTGAGGCTATGCACATGCCTCTGGAAGGCAAACTAAATGCACTGAAGGCCCTGATGATCTGTGGTCTCACACATGGTGATAACAATGTCCAGAATTTGTTACATAATAATTATTGGAAATTCAGAAAAATGCCTTGTTTGGGAGGAAGTTTAGTTTATCTTTAAAAATAAAAATGAAAACAGAAAGCCATCTTAACTTAGAATGCAGTGCTAAGGACATGAACAGTGTTCACAAATGCATGCCAGTTATTAGATGAAGAGAGAGACATAAAATTGTGCAATCACAAGGAAAACCAGGGTGACTAAAGACAGGGCGGGGCAGACAGCAACAGGCCTGAAGCTTTATCAAAGTCCAAGGCTACTCCCAAATTTGTTTCTAGGGCTTACACACATACACACATACACACACACACACACACACACACACACACACACACAGAGAGAGAGAGAGAGAGAGAGAGAGAGAGAGAGAAACATACATACACACATATACATACACACTTATGCCTGTGTGCAAATAAACATAGACTCTTTCTGCACCCCCAGAAAGAAGATTCTGAGTTAGAGAAACTTCCAGAAAAGTGTGAGTATGGGGAGAGAGGGATGTGTTTACATCTGAATAGGCAAAGAAGGAACAGGAGAGGATCGTTCTTTCCAAGTTTTGGAGAGTTCACACAGCTAGAGTCAGAGATGTGCTGAGGAGCAGGGAGGAGGAGGGAGAGGAGGCCGCAGCCATACCCACTTACTGATAAGGAATACTCTTGAAGATAAGGTGATCCAGCAGGGTCAGCTGCTCTGCTATCTCCAGGGCTGAGTGGTTTTCGAAGGGCTCAGTCTTCATACCCTCCGTCTGAGGGAGCAAGGTCAGAGTCAGGCCTGTGAGGTGATGCCAATGGGCTTTTGGTACTTTTCTGAGAGGAATCTCCTCTGGGTTCCGGTGGGTGACTAGGCTATCAATGAGGAAGCTGGGTCCCACTGCTTGTTGCACCCTGTGTATCTGTGGTGTGTGTGTGTGTCCTGTGCTCCCAGAGTACTCTCCCTGGAGGAGGGAGTACTCTTCCTGGAGGTCACCTACCCTGTAGGGAGCAACCATTACACATGTAGGAAGGAGGCGAAAGCCTGCCCAAGCCTCTCAGACGAGTAGGCTGGCTGCAATGCAAGCTTGGGTATCTGAGCCCAGCTGCGATGGACCACTTCCTCTGGGCTCTGCCTGGTTCCAGGCAGGTTCAACACAATTTTTCTTTGAAACTCATTTGCAGCTGTGGGTCCCTGAGTATGAGTTGAACTAGAGGCACTATTCCTGTCTTGTGAGCAGAAGCCTGGCCCAGTCCCCAGCTACTGTGTCCCTGATTTATGAGGTTTACTCATGGATGCTACCTTTAAGATTAGCTGTCACCTGGGCCTCCTTGACCTGGGAACACCCTTAGGAAAACATTAGTCAGGGACAGGGGCACTCACTGCAGGAGTTAGATGAGGGGTGGACACAGGAAGGCTGATGTGCTCAGTACAGGAAGGCTTTAGGTCTGCTGGATTTTTGAGTTGGGAGTGGAGAGAGGGGGAAACTACGCTGCCGTTGGAGGAGCCTGTGTTTACTTAGGGGTGAGTCATTAAAGGTTTCAGTGCCTTGGGGCCAGTTGGGTCTAGAGGGGAGGGCTATCAGGTAGCATAGGCTTAGAGCTGGGCCTGCCAGCCATTCCAGATCTGTGCTTCCTTACATTCACTCTACCTCATCCAGAAGTTCCAGCAGCTGGCCGAGTGCCCAAGTGGCCCACTTGCATGGATCAAAGGAAAGTGGGGTCCACCCACACCCAGAGGACATGCTATTTCTTGAGGCTGAGTGTTCTGCTGCTCCTCTACCCCCACCCCCACCCCCTTTTCTGCAATCACTGAGGTCTGTACTGCCAGCTTGCAGCAGACATTTGGGACAGGCAGACCTGCAAGCATAGTCCTGGCTCGGGACCTTCATCTGGGAGATCATGATGGGGTGTGGTCCAGTGGCTCTAGGTGCTGCATAAGGGTAGCCTTCTCCTCACTTTTGATATTATCCAGGGACGAAGTGGCTTTGGAAGTAGAGTCAGAGTGACAACTTCTGTAACCTTCCAGAAGGCTTGTGAGAAATAATGTAGCAAGCCAGTTTTTTCCTGCCCACTGAGGCTGTGGGCCTCCGTTTAAGCTGGACCTGCCACTCAAAGGCTTAGGGGATCTGTCAAGGATTGGGGTGGGCAGAAATAGGGCTCAATGATCTTTTGTTCTAGAAGAACCCCAGAACAGTTACAAAGGAAAAGAGCCCTTGTACTCAGGAAGTATAAACATTCCAGCCAGGCCCCTATTGGCAAACAGCAGCACAGGGTATTCTCAATGTTGGGGGAGTGGTGAGGAAGGCTATTTCAGTATCCTGAACCCAGAGGATCAAGTGACAGCAAGTGACATTTGGATGCCTTAGTGGGGGTGGGTGGACAGATGGGGGTGCTGCGTGGGCTCCAGGGAGCACCAGCCATACAGGGTGTGAGTAGGGTACTGTGCTTTCATGGATGGTAGGTGAGGAGAGGTGAGAGGAGCTCGTGTCCAGAGCTCTAAGTCGTTACACTGTGGTCACTGGCCAGCCTGGAACGGAGCTGGGTTCACACTGAGTCCAACTCTGGGGAGGTTAGAGTGAGTCTGTCTTGAGCACCTCCAATCATCAGATTTCAGTGGCCAGAAGCTTTGGATTGGTTCACAAAGGCATTCCGAGTGTTCCAGCCAAGGGGTGGAAGCACTTGAGGCCACCATTCCCTGATGGCATATGGAATGCCACCCCTAGCTCACGCTCTTTCTTGCAGAGCACAACTCTCTCCTGAGGTCTTGTCATTTTAGGGCAGGTTGAGTGAGCACACCGTGCACGACTCTTCAGGATGAGGTGCTGTGGTCTAGGGGTTGAGTTTTTCCCTGAGGTCAGCTTCACCTGAGTGTGAACAGCTCTCCTGCCTACCACTTCCCGCCCATACCTCCGAGTGGGTGATTTAGGTCTCTGTGCCTCAGTTGCCTCATTTGTAAAATGAGGGTAATGATGCAAACTTGCAACATCACTGACCAGTGGATCTGGAGTCTTTCAGAATGTAATGCTCTCAGGCATCCATCAGAGGACCCTCGTTTAGAAGTATGAAAGAGAGAAGGGAGGGGTAAGGGAGATGAGGAGGCATGGTGGATGAAGAAAAGTGCCAGTGTTACTAGTTAGATATTGGTCCTCAATAAAGGAGCAATTTCCTAGGCCCTGGTGCTTGTCTAGAACCTTTGCCAATGTAAATGAATTTACAGCGAGGCTATCAGGGTGGGTCACCATTACTGATGTTCTTGTAGGATGACAAATATGGACACAGTGGACAGAGACATGTACACAAAAGGAAGACAACACAAGGACACAAGAGAAAATGGCCCCAGGACTGTTCTGGGTGGTTTTGTGTGTCAGCTTGACATTTAGTTAGAGTCGTCAGAGAGGAAGGAGCCTCAGTTGAGAAAATGCCTTTATGAGATCCAGCTGTAAGGCATTGTCTCAATTAGTGATCAATGGAGGAGGGACCAGCTCATGGTGCGTGGTGCCATCCCTGGGCTGGTGTTCTAGGATCTATAAGAAAGCAGGCTGAGCAAGTCAGAGGAAGCAAGCCAGTAAGCAGCACCCCCTCCATGGCTCATACATCAGCTTCTGCCTCAAGGATCCCGCCTCAGCGTTCCTGTCCTGCCTCCCTTTAATACTGAACAGCAATATGGACCTGTAAGCCAAATAAACCCTTTTCTTCCCAACTTGCTTTTTGGTCACAATGTTTCATCACAGCAATAGAAACCATAAGACAAGGATTATAGTGGGTTTAGTCTAATGCTGCTTGTATTATGTTAATTTGGGTCCCCAAAATTGTACACGAATCTGCACATCTGCATGTAAGATACTGAGGGACTGTGCTCCTAGTTGGTTTTGATTGGTAAGTAAAGTTGCTGGCAGCCAATGGCTGGGCAGAGCAGACAGAGGCAAGACTTTCAGAATTCCTAGGCTAGGGAAGGAGAGGAAGGAGGAAAGGATGAGATCCACCATGCCAGGAGTACGTGGAGGAGAGGGAGATGCCATGCTTGAGAAGGTGCAGGTAGATACAGAGAGCATAGCTGCCATGTAGAAGCTGGGGAAGAGTGGCCCTCAGAGGGTTGCCCGACAGTGTTCAGTACACCAAAGATGGAATATAGATTTTAGTAAGTAATGACTTGGGAATATTGGAAGGAGGTGGATTAGCCATGTGGAAGTTAGGAAGTGGCCCAGTCATTGAGCTGTTTAAGGCATATGAAAATAGAAAGGCTTGTGTGTATTTGTCTTTCAACTGGGGACCCAGAACTTTGGGGTGGATAGTGAGGAATGTGCCACCGCCACTAGGATCTATTTGAGTATTTAATTGGATACTGCTACAGATGGCACCTAACGTGAGGCTAGAACTCATTCTTAAAAGATAATTGGAAATTCATGAATGGAAAACATATGGTTGTGCCTTTAAGATTAGGAGGTGAAGAGAATTGGTTTCTTAGCAGAGCTGCACATTTTTTGCTCAAGCTGCATGGGGAGGGGACTAGGAAAATTGGTACACATCATTCTGGGATTCATGACATAAGACAAAGCTGATCCAGCCTGAGGCTATCTCAAAGGCTTCTAAGCTGCCCTGGAGAGCTTGAGCTCAGAGGTGTTGGGAGCCTCTGCTGTGCAAGGAGACAGGCTGTTCAGAGAGTGAGGCTGCATGTCTCCTGCAAGCCAATAAAAAAAAAATAGAAATTTAAGAAGTCAATGCTATCATAAGGAACTGGGTTCTTTGAATGTGGGCTCCTTGGGAATTCTGAGATTGCTTAGCTTGGCATATGACACATTGCTAGCCTGAGAATAGGCTTATGCAGTAAATAGAAGGGAATTTAATTGAAGTGAAATAGGAAAGGATATTATTTCAACTCATTTAGAAAGAAAGGTAATATAATTTTATATATCCACAGAGATAGTAATCTCCTTAGAAGGGAAGAATGAATGAAAACTGCTTAATTGTTTTCAAGTATGCATGGATGAATAAATAAATGTAGGTCTTTGATCTCAAATGTAGGATTAAGGGCAGGGGATAAGGAGAAGACTCTATCTCAACAGAGAATAGAAATTTAGGCCTTTGATCTCTTGTAGTAACGAAAGCAGGAGATGGGGAAGGAGCCCTGTCTCAACAAATAATAATAATTGCTTAAGATTGTTTTAATTGCTTTGAATTGTTTTAATTTTCAAAATGTAGGAGATTGTAAGTTTGGTGGTTAGGATATTATAAATCTTCAGAGGGAGAGGTCAAAATAGAGAAGGCTTAAAGAAAAAGGAGCCTGTTGATTTGAATCAATCTATACTTTTGATGATTTCGGGTTGCTGGACCAAGGACATGCTGTTTTGGGAGAGAGGCTCTGTATGGACCCCTTCCAAAGTGATATGGATCAGATATGATACAGGAAGACCCCCTGAAGATCTTGGTTACAGACAGAAAAGAAATATTAAAGAAGCCCAAACAGGACATGTAACACGATATGCTGATCCTTCCATGTGGGAACAGCCCTGAAACTGGCTTAGACATAAAAATATCTCTGGCCAAATCTTCAGCTAAAATTAGCCAATAAATCTTGTTGGTTATGGAATCCTTAAGCTTCACATGGCATGAATGAAGATTCATTACAATTGGTTATTGATCAAATTAACTCATAAAGACGATGATTGTCTTTCACCAGCTTAAAGAAGAAACAAAAACTGTTCCTTAATCGATCTGTGCACCTTGCACAATTCATACAAATATCTCTGTAGCACTAAAAATTTGGTTATGATACTCATATATTGCACAATGAAACAGCAAGATGCAGCTATGACAAGATTCATCCCCAGGGACACTGTAACAGCCTGCTGTTCCAGCCCCTTGCCTTTTAAAGCTGTTTCCAGAGACTTGCTCACACAACAGCTTCAGAAATAGCTACTGATTCCTGATGACCTTGATTTATCCAGCCTTTCAGATGGATCCAGCCAGAAGTTTAGTCAAACCCTGAATTTTCTAAGCATACAGAGACTGGATAAAAAGTGCTAAAGCTAGCTAAAGTCTAATCAATTTCTTCCAATTTTCCTACTTCTCCCCACCCCTTAAAAAAGCATCACCCCAATTCAGAAGGAAGAAGCTGTGGAGAGTCATCATCTTGATTCCTTAGGTTTGGGTGTCTGGTTATAGTTATTTTATAGATTATAGATTATAGATTATAGATAGGTTGTCATTTAAAAGAATAATTTGGAAATGGTTGTAATTTTGGACAGATTTGGGGATTTCTGTCTTTCCTTTCCTCTTCTCTATCCTTTCTTTCTTAGGTGAAAGTAAGGGTGTTGAAAAGAAAAGGGGAATAGAGTGATGTTATAAGAAATTAGATATATGGGATGGATGGCTAAATTTATTCTTATATAAAACATTTTATAGCCATAATCTTACATTGGTAGAAATCTTTACATTTTGATGCAGAATTGAAGTTATATTTTCTTACATTGGTACAGAATTTATATATTGATACAGGTTTAAGGTTGTTATTGGTATAAACTTTTATATATTGGTACAGAATTTAAAATTATTTTTGTTACTCTTAGATAGGCCCTGTGCCTATGCAACTCATTTAAGGATACAAGGCTTAGACCTAGTCCTTCTAATAGCTGCTATTACAAACTGTTTAGGATGATTAAGTAATGCAAGTTAAGGTCAGATAGTAAACTTATGGTAATATTAAATTCTGATTTAATTATAATAATACATTTTCAATAGTATTCAAATAGTAAATAACTAAGAGTACTCAAAGGTTAACGGTTCAGATATACTATGTATAGATAGTCTTCAAAAGAACCAGAGATTCATAGAAAATGACATTTAAAATAATTTCATTATTAATAGATCTTTTGATTAGGAGACATGTTTGCTCCTGACAATACCCTCTTCACACTTTAGAGAAGATATTGAACATCTTGCTCCAATTGTGGCAAGGTAGCCACTGGGCAAGAATTGCCCCAATTCATCTGTAGACAAAAAATACTGTTCAGGAAAGGACACACGATTTGGGATAGTCGAGAGCTAAGCTCTGCCAAGACAGGGTAAACTAGTCCCTCATAATACCTGCTTCACTTAATGTCTATCAGATGGTTCTGGGCCAGAAGGCTGAAGACAGATGCTCCAACATTATGAGGAATATAAAAAACTGTTCATGCAGTCAGTGGTCTCTACAAATTGTTTAAGTTTTAGAAGCTATGTTTTTATGCTTTATATATATTCAGGCAATATTTAATTCATTCTCAGATCTCTGATGGTGTTGAAGACTAGTTATAGTCTCATAATCACACTTAAGTTGTTTAGCATTAAAGCAGATGATCTATATTTGAAGGGATGGTTTTCAGATGGTAATACAAGTTAGAAATCAAAGCATAATTCAAGTATAGAATTGTAAACTCGTCAGGCAGTGGTGGCGGACGCCTTTAATCCCAGCACTTGGGAGGCAGAGTCAGGCAGATCTCTGAGTTAGAGGCCAGCCTGGTCTACAGAGTGAGTTTCAGGACAGCCAGGGCTATAAAGAGAAACCCTGTACTGAAAAAAACAAACAAACAAAAAAAAGTAAACTCTTTAAGTTAGGACAGATGATAGAATAATTTATCTAAATTGCCAAATATTATAGACTGGATGTTACAAGTTGCATATCATACCTTACAATTTACATAACTGCTATAATTACATAATTTAATATATATATATAAAATTGTGCTCAATTTATATCTGAGAGAAAAGAGCCTTTTTAACTTGACAAAAAGGGTGAAATGTAGTGGGTTTCGTCTAATGCTTGTATTATGTTAATTTGGGTCCCCAAAATTGCACAAGAATACACACATCTGCATGTAAGATACTGAGAGATCCCTGACCCCAGTTGGTTTTGATTGTTAAATAAAGTTGCTGGCAGCCAATGGCTGGGCAGGGCAGACAGAGGCAGGATTGTAGGATTCCCAGGCTAGGAAAGGAGAGGATGGAGGAAAGGAGAAGGAGATCCACCATGCCAGGAGAAGGTGGAGGAAAGGGGAGATGCCATATATGAGAAGGTACAGGACAGAGAGCATAGCTGCCATATAGGAGCCATGAGAGAGTAGTCCTCAGAGGGCTGCCTGACTGGGTTCTGTGCACCAAAGATGGAATATAGATTTTAGTAAGTAATGACTTGGGAATACTAGAGGGAGGTGAATAAGCCATGTGGAAGTTAGGAAGTGGCCCAGTCATTGAGCTGTTTATATAAAGGCTGTGTGTGTGTGTCTTAAAAAACCCAGAACATTGGGGCAGGTAGTGAGGAATATGCCATCACTGCCAGGATCTATTTGAGTATTTAATTGGAAACTGCTACAAAGAACCATGGAGACATGAACTGTATTGATTCAGCCAGGAGCTGAGAGTACACAGGGTTATCAGCAGCTGGCAGAGGCAAGCAAGGGTCTTCCTGGAGAGTTCTTGAGAGAGCATAGGCTTGCATATATCTTTGCTTCAGACTTCCAGGATCCAGGACAAGAAGGAGGAACACCTTGCCTAGTTTGTGCTACTTAGTCACAAAGCCACAGGAAATAGATGCAAGTGATGACTGTGCTAGGACAGGGGGTCATGAAGTAATGAGATTGAGGAAGGTGTTACCTTGGTAAACAAACGAGATTGTCATCCTACTTACCATCAGTATGATCCTGGACAGCATTCTATTGCTTTCCGTTGTCTCAGCATGGGATAGACACCTAGGGAGAGGAAATCATGTGAGTCTCAGTATACCTCTCTGGTAGATCTTCCCTACCTGGCCTGTCTTCTACCCCCCGATCCTTGCTTACTGCCTTTACCCAGAAGCACTCTCTCTCTCTGCTACCCCTGCCTCTCTCTGCATTACTGACTTATTCCTGATCCTTCTGTCTGGGAAAAGGCCCTCCCTTAGCCTCTGAGCTTCCTACACTCTGTTCTGTATATATGTGCCAGGATGTAGAGGTATAGGCAGGGAACTCTGAGGCAGGCACTTCTGTGTGCACATGGAATGATAGGATACACAGGGTGAAGTAATGTCAGACTTGGAGTACCAGAGTGGACAGGAAATACTTCTTTATGGGATATCCCTCAGGTCTGGCTTGAACAGAGATAAGGTGACATAGTAGAATAGAGTCCCAAGAACCCAAGGGAGGACTGTGTTGATAGAAGTGAGGGAGGTTGTGGCTAAGCTAACTAGAGTGAGTTCTGAGCATTAGTGGAAAGTGAGTGTAGACCTCTCCAACCCAAGTCAACCCAAATCTTCACTTGGTATGATAGGACATATGAGCAAGATATGAGAAGATTGGGGTGGATAGAGTGGTAGGCTCTTGGTGGCAGACCAAGGGCCTGGCCTGAGGTGTACATAGAAAAGCAGGGAGAGGTCTTTAGGGGTTGTCTGGAGGAGTGGGACTCTGAAGATCAGACCTGGAAACTAATAGTATTCCAGACACTGAGAACTGGCTCTCTTGAGGGCCCACTGGACACAGTTCTCTGAGTTCCCAGGAGAACCTGGAGGAAGAGACTACAAGAGCTTGGGTCTGCTTGTATGCATAAGTATGTTTGTGGTCATCCCATTTATATATGGGATTTATATATGGGTTCTTTCTATATATGTCCCTCTTTCTCTCTGTCTTCTTTCCTTTCCCTCTTTCTCTTTCTACACACACATGCTCGCTTTCTCTCTCTCTCTCTCTCTCTCTCTCTCTCTCTCTCTCTCTCTCTCTCTTGCATGCACACAGATAGATAGATAGATAGATAGATAGATAGATAGATAGATAGATAGAAGGGCCAATGATATCTTAGGACTGTGAACATGGAGGAGTGATGAGGCCTGTACAGGGATAGAAAAGGGGCTGGAGACTTGGGTTGCAGGAAGTACCTAAGCTGGATTTGATAGGAAGTCTGGGGAAGATGCAATGACTGGGGTGTAGAGGTGGCTGTCTGTCAGTAAGGAGAAGAATCCTCCCCAGATTGAGCTGGAGAAGCTAGCTTGAGTGGGAAGAATGAGAACAGGATGCAGGGTGCTGGTGCACCTACACCATTTACCTTCTGAGAACCTGCAGAAGCTATGTGCACCATCTTGCTTGAACCTTACTATAGCCTTGAAGCCAGCATTGTTCACCCATTTCACAGAGGAGAAAATGAGGTTTGGTTAAGGGCCTTACTATGGTCAATAGTGAGTCACACTGGCTGAGGTAACTTGGCTTTGGGACTATGTGAACCCTGACCTCTGCTAGAGAGGCAGGCTGGGAATCAGGTACAGCACAGGTCTGAGGAACAAACAACTTAACTGAGTTTAAAGCAATAGACATTCCTTGAATACCTATGAACACTGTCCAATAGAACCTCTATAGGGAAGAGAGGGGATAGCCCATGCTAAGATAGGGGCTTCTAGCCAACTGAATCTCTAGGAACTGAGAGATAACAATTTTATTGTATTCAATTTCAGTGCACTGAGATTTAAATAGTTGTATGTAGGTAGTACCCATCACATTGGACAGGTGTTAGCAGCCATTGACATACTTGGAGAAGAGGTACAGTCTCCACGCCCAGCTGCATCAAGGTCTCATGTGGTCCAGGACAGCTTCACTATGGAGCCACATATGATTCTGAACTTATCATCATTCTGCCTCCCAAGTTCTGGGATTACAACTCGAGAAATAGGATTGCAGACATGCACCACCATACTCAGTTTATGTGATGGTAAAGCAAGAATTATACCAACTGAGCTATGTCCCTAGCTACATCAAGGTCTAGTGAGGGGTGGGAAGAAGAGAGAGCAAGAAGTCCATACAGCACTCACTCCAAGCTTGAATACAGAGTGTGCTACATGGATCCCAGATTTCTGGGGGCTTATATCTACCCTGATATATCTCCTGCCCAGGCAGGCTACTATGAAGGTACAGGGCAGAGCACTGTCCCAGAAGGTTATCCTCTTACCTCAAGATGCTGGATGCTGCCTTTCGCTCTTGTGGCAGAAGTTCTGGTTCATGAACGAGCTCATCCAGGAAGCAGATAACCCTGACTCTGAGTTCATCATTGGTGTCAAAATCCTGTGGGAAGATGGGCATGAAACTCTGGTTGTAGTTACAAACTTCTCTGCAATACTTTAAGATCAGGCTGCAGGACAGAGTTCCCATTTCTGCCCATGGTGGCTGCTCTGCTTTTCTTATCTTGTCACTATTTTCTGCAAGGCCACAAGTAGGGCTTCAAATGTCCTAGGCACAGGGTACTTGGGGATGACCAAGGTCATCTCTCAGTTGTTGTACCCCTAAGTCAAGGAGGCCCAAGCCTACCTGTACTCTAGCTGTAGACAAGTGGCCAAACAAGCCCCTTGTCTTCTTGACTGTCTTTGCTTCTCTTCCCTGGGGAACTTGAGCAGGCCCTACTGGGAAAATGGGGTTCCTTTTCTCCTGTTGACCCACTGTCTGCTATCACTTACTGACACTGGGAAGCAATTGTTCCTGGAACAGAGTCCCACCCACCTGAGTGTGCTTGGTGATCCAGTGGCGGAGCACGTTCAGCACACGATTGGTGGCAGCTCTGCGGATCACAAAATCTTTGTCGCTATTTCTCTGTTCTTCGGAAACTCCTGATGGTGACAATGGTAGAAAGAGAAAAGGACAGGATGTTGAGCTTACTTAGCTGACACGATTCATCTGAGGGTCTTGGAAGGAAACACTGAACTGTGTTCAGACTCAAACTAGAGGTCATAAAGCCTCAGTGTTACAGTTCCTCATCACCCAACTCTGCTATACCTCCTCCATCTAAAAGGTTTAAGAAGCTTCCCTCAACAAGATTATGCAGAGTACCCAAGACCAGAGCTCTCCAGGAACTCCCTTCTAGCATTTGAAGTGTAACCATTGCTGTGGAGGTGAGCAATGGGAGGAAGGGTGCTGGGGGCTCTCTTGGTTGATGTTCTTGGCCAGGAGTAGAATTTGGCCAAGGACCAAATGGGATTTGGTAGAGAGAAGAGGATGGCAAGACAATACTCGTAGGGCCTGCAGGAAGAGTGGGTAGCAGCAGTTCAAAGTGAATGGAAGGGAGGGTAAATCTAGGAGTATGTGAGTGTGCGCGTGAGTGTGTGTGTGTGTGTGTGTGTGTGTGTGTGTGTGTTTGTGTGTGTGGTGGATAAGCTAAGATTGCCCTTTAAGGGGTTGATGAGCAACATAGCTCAGACTTTATTCCATTGATGACAGAAAGTGGAAAGGAAGGATGCATCCTAAATACAGTTGCCTTGGCTGCAGGTCTGGGTGTGCAGAGCTGGTGTAGAAAGAATGGCCCCATCTCAGCCTCCATAAGAGGAATGGTCAACAGGGTAAATAACAGAAAGCAAGGCTTCATGTCCAGTGAGTAGGGATAGCTTGCTGGAGCAGGGAGCTCTCCAGGGGCAGTGTATGTGGACTCACCATGGCTTCTGCAATGCACATCAAACACCTGAGGAAGGGCAGGTCCCATGTCTGTGACTGTGACTCCTGGCACAGGACTATGGAGAAGGGGAGTACCCATAAACAGAGATGTCCACATACCTGAGGCCAAAGACATCCTTCGAAACACCTCCTTGTTTGAGGGGCCTTCATTGGCTCCTGCAGTCGCTATGGCAAAGGCAGAAGTAGCTGAGAGAGTGGTTTGATTGTCCACCATATCACGACATGTGGGTATCACGACTCCACTGTAGTTTAAGAGTGGGAACTCTGTGGAAAGAGGGGAATCCTCAGCCATTCCTCAGTCTTTTTATGCTGGCAGACATTCAAGCAGCAGAAGATAGCCCAATCTCAAAAGCCCAGGGCAGGAAAGGGGTTCAAGAGGTAGTGTGTGTGTGTGTGTGTGTGTGTGTGTGTGTGTTCTCTATAAGAGTCACGCCACAATATTCCCTAGGTCTGTCCCAGGCCACAGAGGCTTATCTAATCCTTTGCTGTTTAGAAGACTGAGATTCACCCGTGTTGGGCCTAGACCTGCTTGAGAAAAGCATCATGAGCTATGTTGTGCTTTCAGTGTACTAGGAACTGACACACAGTCCACTCAAAATCTGACGTTCACAATTCATATTGACAGGGTTATGGGCCTGGTGGGATTGAGGTAGCATTGTACTTGGGTTGAAATTCTTCCCATCTCTCACTAGATGTGTGACCATGGGTACATTCCTTCAACTCTGGAGCCTCAGGATTCTCCTTTGCACAGCAAGGATACATCCAACATGAATATAAAAAGGAGATCACAGAAGAAAGTACAACAGGTTCTATGAACAAGGAGACCTACTGATGGTAATAATGATGACAAATCGCCATGAGGGTCAACACCAGAAGCCTTTGCTTCATTTCATGGGAGTATGGAAGGCAATCTGCATCATCACAGTGAAGTAGCACTCCTTCAGACATGAGGGACAACTGGTCTTGCTTTAAAAACTCTGAGATATTCTTTTCCTTTTACCTTCCCTTCTCTCCCCTCCTCTTCCTTTCCTTTGTTTCTCTAATATGTCTCCCCTCCTTCTCTTTTAGATCAACTCTCTCTCTTTATCTCTTTTTGTCTGAGACAGTATCTCACCCCTCTCTACCTCTACTCCCTATCAGTTGAAGATAGCTCTCAGTAAGTTGCCAAGGCTGTCCTGAACTCTCTCTGTAGCCCAGGTTGACTTGGCACTCTCATTCCCCACCTGGGGTTCTCAAGTATCTCAACTGCTGGGATTACAAGCACCCTCACAACTGGGTCTCGATGCTCATTTCTGAAAATGGGCTCTTTGAGATTTACTCCTGTGTCTGAGAAGCCAGGAAGGGCTACAGGGTGCTCAGGTACCTTTTCTCTACATCGGGGCAGCTCTGCTTCTTATTGGGTTTCTTTCCAGGTGCAGCAGCAGGGGATTCTGAGATTTGGACTCCCCCATGAATATGGAGCAAGAACTTGAAAATGAATGGCAAGTTTCCTTCTTTGGGAGGCAGAAAGATTGTCCTGGTAGCTGAGGGCCCCTGAAGCCTCTCTCACTCTTGGATGTCCCATAGCCCTCCTGGGGCTACAGTAGTGTTTATGGGGACCAGAAACTAGGTAGATTGCTCAAGAATCCTGCAGGATTGTGAGTCTGAAATGTGAGTGGGCAGAATCACTACCTTCTAGAGTCTTGGCCCCCATCTGTGATGGTAGGGATAGAACCTTAAGTATGTCAGGAAAGCACTCTACCAATGAGCCACTCGCCAGCATTGCTTTTCTTATTTAAAGATAAGAACAACCCAGGTTCTCTTCATGCATATTGAAAGGATGAAAAAGCCCACCACAAAGCCTGAATCATGAGATTCCAGGAATCATTTCTGACATGGGCTCTCTCCCATGTGAGAGCTACAGCTGCTAGGTCACTGGTTAGACAATGCAGTTCTGATGTTGGAGTGACTTTACGAGTTGAAGATCAGGGTCTACTCAACCAATGTTCCAGCACCCATATTCCTTACATCCTTGGGGGATATAAAATAGAATAGTCACTGGCTTTAGGGGTCACTCATAAAACAATGGCAACACTAACATGCTTCTTTCCTCCTGGACAGCCACCTTCAGCTCCACACTGGGGAACGTACCTGATTTGTTTTCGAACAGTGGAGGTGGAGATCTAATTGGTGATGTTCGTGTGTTGTCTTCATCATTCTGGTTCCGGTCATCATCAGGCTCTTCTCTCAAGACATCAGGGGCTGGGGGAATAGAAAGACTCACACTCTTCTCAATTATTCATTGATAGGAAGCCTCACATCTATCATTTGTTAAAGCAAAGCAGACTAAGTAACAAGGGCCTGGTACCCTGGATGAAGACTGTTAAACAGCTTAATCTCCACAGGCTTTGTCAGAACCTTTCACATGCTTATAGATACTGTGGACCTCCAAAATGGCTTTTCCTTTACTAGTATTTCTAAAAATGTTATGGGCACAACTAGGTTCTTGTTACAATGCAGATTGTGGAGCCTGGGAATATAGCTCAGTGGTACAGTGCTTGCCTAGTCTAGCATGCTTAAGGTCTTGGGTTCAATCATTAGTGGTAGAGGAAGGGGACAGGTTGTAATACAGCTCTTGTCTCAAAGAATAGGGCAGACTACTGTCCAGTGCTGTAGACAACCTTACTTCAGTTTCAGTGTACATTTATACATTAATGTAATAAAGAAAGCAGTGATCTAAGGAAGGTTGCTTGAGGTCAGAAAACACAATCAGAAAAACATGTAAATAAGCATCAGTATGCACATACTAGATATTAACAGAGTGGCCCTTTTCCAGAACCTTCTCGGGACAGCCCCTATTTAAACACAATTGCCTGGCAAGTACTATAGATCCTATCTGGGAAAGCATGAAATCAAGGCAGAGGCTGTATCCAGATCCAGGGCACACTGAGGACAGCACTCAGCAGATTCTTTCATCAGATTGGGTTCTATAGCTATGTCCTGACAACCAACAAGAATAAATATGTATTATACACTGAATGTAAATGTTTGTCACAGGAGTCCCAAAATCATATTCAAGAATACTTAGCACTTGGGACTACAGGGGTGTGCCTCTGAGCCTGGCTTTCTAATGTAGGGAAATATTTAACTCAGGTCCTTATGATCATGTGGCAAGCACTTTACCAGTGGTGTCATCTTCCTGGAGCCTTGGGAAATAAAAGCAACTTAACCTCTCTGGGTCTCAGTTTCCCCAACTAGAAGGTGATCACACTTGAAACCCACAGGAAGCCACAGATCTCTTTTTAAAAAAGTCCATTCAGCCAGCTCATAGATCCACATAGACAGATTGAGGGTCTCTGGATCACTCATCACGAACTCTGGTAAGAGGTGGCTTTGTAGACTAACTGGGGCAGCACTCCACAATGTAACAAGATCTCCCTGCAGGTCTGTGCTGAACAACATTTTGAGCCTCACACTGTTGCCTCTCTAGATTCCACACATCACAGACACTGGATGGTGTTTGAGTTTTCTGACAAGCTATTACCTTAGCTACCAACTTTCAGCTGTGCAAGCCACACACATCACGTATTTGTTGCATGAACCATGGGAATGTCTGTAGTGATGGAGCCTTGGTGGCTTCTCTTCTTCCCAGTTGTGCCTCCTTTTTGAAGGATAGGACGTGTACACATACACACACACATGCACACGCACACACACACACACAAAACCCACACAAACACAGATACATACACAATACATAATAGGGTGGTTCTGCTCATGCATCTACTTACCCTGCTTCCTGAGGGCTACTAGCTCCCTAGGCCTCTCTTTAATTGGGGTGGTCCTGTCACTCTCCTCTGGAGTCCTGCGGAAGCCGCTGGCCACAGAGTGCTTGCTGGAGTCCAGCGTGGTTTTGCCGAAGGGAGCTATGGGTGTGTGTATGTTGGGGTAGCCATCAGAGCTGCTCCCGAGTGAAGCCAGTTCCAGCGCCTTGCCGCCTGTGATGATGGGGACGTTGAGGGACATCTTCCGATGGCGGCTTGGGGGCGATGTTCCGACGCCCAAGGGTGGTGGTGAGGAGACCTTGCGACTGCCATGAGGAGACTTGGGGGCCTCTTCATCCGAATCCTTTTTTCGATTCCTGGAAAACAAGAATTCCAGTGATCTGTGAGGATGCGAGGGAAGAGGGAGTGAAGGCTTTGAGTGTTGACTTGTCTACCTAACTCATGGTGGCTGAGAGTGTCTACCTTTTGTGGATGATCTTTGAAGGTCAGGTGGGTCCCTGCGCATGGTTGTGATTAAAGTGCTTAGGGACAAATGTCTATATCCACAAGGCTGGGTGTCTGACTGGTGGGCATGGTTCTCTCTGGTGCTCCTACCTCTGCCTCCTTTCTGAGGTACTATGGCTCCTGACTGCAGGCCTCTGTAGGGCCTCCAACCACTCATATGAGGCTACTAACTTGTATGGTCTGTCCATGTCCTTACAGTGGTATGCTTTGTGCATGAGGAAGCAGAGGCTCAGGGGAAGGTAGTGACTCATCTGATGTCTCTGCCATGGCACCTGAGGGGTTTCACCTGTCTATTGGGTTTGGAGCAGGTAGAAGTGTAGTTAGTGCATTAGCAATCCTGAGGCCAGGCCTGCGTTTAAGATACTTCAGCCAGAGATGTGTAAGGGCCTTGTGGAGAGTCTCTTGGCCTTTCTGGGCCCTAGTTTGCCATTGGAGAACTCCAGTGATGTAGGTATGAAGCCAAGGTAGCTAAAGGGTTCTGTCTACTAGAGGATGTACCTTGACCACACCATAAAGGACTCTTCAAAGCATGACAAGTATACACAGAGCAGGAGTACCTGTCTGTATCTCTCTTCCTTCCATTTTTCCTTTTTTTCTGTAAAGGGTGGCCCCTAAGTTTCCCAAAGGGTTTTAGGGAACAGAGAATAATAAATAGCCCTTGACTTCTCTGACCAAGGTTTGGGGACTAGGGGGTGGGTAAAAGAAGCTTAGTGGAGTTTGTGTGGTGACGGCTAGGCAGTGCAGCTCTGTGACAGATCTGGATCCCACCCTGCACCACCATGATGCTCAAGAGGAAGGCTACCGTGGAGCGTCGAAGGTGAAGCCCAAGTGCCACTCCAAGCCCGCCCCTGCCGAGGTGGACACGAAGCTGAAAAAGGCGTCAGTAAAAGATATAGGATCAGACAAAAAAAGTGCAAACAAAAGAGAAGTGGGGAGCAAAGGGCAAACAGGCTGAGGTGGCTGACCAGCAAACTAGATCTGCTTGCAGAAAACGGAGGAACAGAAAACCAGAGCCCAGCCTCTGAAGAAGAGAAAGAAGCCAAGTCTGACTAAGCATCCATCATGTCTGTCAGTGGTCCCTGCCTCCCTTCTTGTACAATCCAGAGGAATATTTTTTTAACAACTATTTTGTAAATGTGAGTTTTTTAGTAGCTCTAGAAACATTTTTACAAGGTGGAGAAACCTCACCTCATCCCATTTTTTTAAAGTGTAAACTTTTTTTAAGAGGTAAATCATTTGCTGGTTGTTTATTTTTTTTGGTAAAAACAGAAAATAGCTGTATACTGAATTGGGAGAGGATGTGACTGTCTTGAGGGTCATCATGACATTCCGTAGAGGGGGCTAGTTTTATATCCTACAATACAAAGCATATTAAATGACAATTTGGAATCTCAGTCGTGCATTTAGGTCTGGAATATTTTCAGTTATATCTGTCCCCGTGTTTCTAGTAGAACCATTTTGTAAGAAAGTCAGCCCTTGGTCCTTGCCCTGTCACAACTGTGATGTCTGTGGTCATGGCAGTCCATTTTCCTAACAGTTGTGATAATGTGAAAGATGGAAATTTTGAGTACGTTCTGTATGTGGCATAAAATTGTGAGTCAGTGGAACTGCGGATTCTGAGCATTTGGTTGTTATGAGGGGTCTTAGGGAAACTTGCCAAGTTTGAGGAGGGGAGCATCACTGAAATAAAGTTCGAAGAAAAACAATATGAAGTTCTTCGTTCGTGTTCATGAATACAGCGTGTCTCTTCAGAGTTTGGGTAGGTGTGATAAGAATTGGAATGTCTGTGTACTCTGCTCCTCGACCAATAAAATCTCAGATGTGAAAGAGTAAAAAACAAAGCAAAACAAAAAACAAAAGAAGCTAGTGATCAGCAGCATGGGTGGCTAGGCCTGGAGGGGCTTCGAGGAAGAGAGGGGGAGCAGAGCAATCCCTCCCTAGTCTTCCCGAGAAGACCTCTAACAGGCACAGCTGAAGATGACCTCATGCTTCTGCTCCTCACACTCCAGAGCTGTGGGTTTATAGGTTTGTACCACTATTCCCAGTTTCTTTTGTGAAGCAAACAAACAAACCAGTCTTGAAATATACTCCCTCTGTGGACTGGGAATGATACATGCCATATCATTCTTAATTCTGGGACAGCCTCTTTTCCAGAGACCTCATTGGCTTAGAAATCTGTGGGGTTCAGGAGGAGATGCATGATCCTAGTGAGGGATAGTTATGATGGGATTCTTTTGAAAATATTGCCACATTTAATTAGTTAATGTGTGTGTGTGATTGATTAAGTGTGGATGTCAGAGGACAACTTGCAGGAGTGGGTTTTCTCCTTCCACCATGCTGGGTCCAGAGGTTGAGATTCGGTCATTAGGCTCAGTGGCAAGTGCCTTTACACACTAAACCATCGTGTCAGAGACCAGAGATTTCTGTAGATGATGATGATGAGAGAAGGCATGCATATACCTGGAAGGAAATGCATTGATAGGCGTTCTGTAAATATCGATCAGCTTGTCTAGGACCACCGAAGAAGTGGTAAAGACTCGGTAGGAGTGCATGAAGGTGTTGAGAAAGTCAATACTCATGAAGCGCAGATCAGTCAGGCGCTCCAGCAGGCGATCCACGCTGGCATAGCGGATCTGCAGCACTTTGCAAGAATTCATGGTTTTGCTGAAGCGAATGTCAACATCATCACAGTATAAGGATTTATCAGACCTATAAAGGGGAGGGCAAGGAGAAGGGACGTGTGCAGATATGAACATCACAGCAACATAAGGAGGCACTGAACCTGAACACTGAGGAAGGGGGAAATGGTGACGAATGTCTAAGGTGTCTCTTCACCAGGTCAAAGGTGAGGCTACCATCAGGCCATCTTGTCAACCCCTCCCTCCCCACACAGACAAAAACAGCTTATCTGGAAACTTCAGAAGGATAACACCAAGAAAGAGCTGTAACTCCATTCCCCAACATCCTAAAATCCTTCAGTACTGGAAAAACATAAAAGACATCAAATAATGTGCTTCCAAATTTCCAAGACACTTGAGAATTGTATTCACACAAAAATCTGCACACTTACATTTCCAGTGGCAATGTCCATAATAGAGGAGAGCAAAAACATCCTACAAATGTCTATTAGCAGATGGATGGTCAAATGAAGTAAAGCAGGATGTTACTCAGCCATGAAAAGAAATGGGGTACTGACCCATTTAGAAGTAGATACTGGTGTCAGTTGTACAACATAGTGTACTGAAATCTACTGACTTGTACTTTTAAAGTAGAGACATTTATGCCATTCAATTAAAAAAAATAAGTAAGACTAGGTATGATGGTATATATTTTTCATCTCAGCACTTGGGTGGCAGACTGGGCAGATCTCTGTGAATTCAAGGCTGGTTTGGTTGACATAGTAAGTCCTAGACCAGCCAGAGCAACATAGTGAAACTTTATCTTAAAAGAAAAAAAAAAAACTAATACAGGGTAGGAGTTTTGAAAAGATTCAAGGGAAATTCCAGTGTTCTAAGAGAAAAATAGGAAACCAGCTTCTGTTTTGCTGCCTTGAGGTGTATCTGGATTTCAGAAACTGGTTTCTAGGTTTTCACAGGAGCTTGACCTGCTGTGTAGGAAGCTGGGTGACATCACAATGTCAATGTGGGGTCCATGAAGGGTACAACTTTCAGAGAAGGACATTGAAGGAAAAACTTCCAGCAGAAGGACATATTTCTGATGTTCCGGTTCCAGTTCTTATGGTAGTCTTGAAGTACAATATGCTACTTTGTAATCCATGCTCTTCGGACTAAGAGCGCAATGTGATGTCACAGATGTGATACCCCTGGGATGGTCAAAGGAAGAACTACAAAATCTGTCTAGAAAGATACTTCCCCACTAGGATCTAGAATATATTCATTGTAAGTCCTTAATGATAATCCCAAATCGAGAACCACAAAAGGACTTAAGACCCTCAATATAACAAATAACTAAGTTAGACTGATTCCCCACCTCCATATTTTTTCCTTTTTCCTTTCTAGTTTGTGACAGTGTTGCTATCTGGAGTGCAGGCTTGGGTAGAGTCTAAAATTCTTCTGTCTCAAGTACTGGGATGACAGTTGTATACCAGTAGTCATTTTAAAATCTCTTGGCTTAGAAAGTCATCAATGCATTTGGTCACAGTCCTAGAGGGACTCTCTTCTTATAGCTCCTAGAAGCTATTATTGATAAAGCTGGCTTTGCAAAGCCTCTCATCATAAACTTCTAACTTACTTGTCAATGTAGGTAGGCAGCTCAGGAGTTTATTCTCTTCTATCTCCCTAGCATTTGTAGGCATAGGTCACTCTGCTCTTGATCTACTCTTTGAGCATCAGGACCAGTCTTTATTTGGCAGTGGACCAGATGGACTTTAACCCTCCCATAGGAAAAGAAGCCCTCGGGGCCTGTCAGTTCACCTCAAAGTTTACTGAAGGACTTACTGAGTCTTTTCTTCTTGCTAAGGTGATCATCCCGAGAGTGGAAACCCGTCCCAAGCAAGACCTACCCATGGCCTTTTCTAAGACTTTCTAAACTGGATCTATTATCAGGTCCCACTCCTCCCTGGGCTGCCAGGATGTGAGGAGAGGAGTGAGTTAACTAGATCACAGGGTCCTAGGGAACTGAAGATGGAGCTCAGGATCTAAATTTTGAACTCAAGATCAATGGCATCTTCTGGGCTTGGTGGTAATCAACAGCCCCCAAAGCTATTCTATCATGCAGTTCTAACTGGCAGCTGAGCCAGTTAATGGCAGACTCAGTTAATGGCAACAGCGTGGGGTATATTAAAGCTTAAGCAATGACTCTGAAGTGTATTTTGCTGTTTTGTTTCTTGGACATTGTAAATCTTTGTAAACGTGATTTGCCTTTTTTTATTTTTGACAACTGAAAGTCTCAGAGTGAAAGGCAGCGTTCACTTGATTTCCCTTTTTTCCTTGTGTCGCCCTCTCTTCCCTGTACACTGCCGACTGTGTCTTTGTAGTTGATTTTACTTGTAGAGAGTAGCTATCTTAGGCCTTTTGTTTTTCTGGTCTGATATTACTAATAGAGCACACAGATAAAAAAAGATACATATATGCTCTTAAAAAGAATAAGATTGACATTTCTATCATAATGAACCCTCAGAGCGAAAAAAAAAACCACCTAAAGAAACAGTTCAGCCTGTCCTGACTACTGTGAGGAGAACATATTTATGCCTGTGATGGTTACTTTTCTCACGGCTGTGATAGGACACCTGACAGGAATAACTTCAGGGAGGAAGATTTATTTAGGCAGTCCACCACAGGGCAGTGAATGGGCAGTTCCACGGGGCATGGTGCGGCTAGCATACATCTTGATGAATCCAGAAGCAGGGCATGGTTATAACTCTCAAGCTCTTGTGCCCTTTAGAAATTCACTTCCTCCAACTGGGCTCACCCGTCTGAGCCTCACAGTCTCCCAGAATAATGTCAGCAGCGGGGTACTAAGTATTGAAACTGCATGAACTAGTGGGAGGGGTACTTTATATTTAAATCATACATGTGGAGGACACTCCTTGATGACAGCTCTATCCCTGTTTCCTAGACAACACCTAGTCTTCTGTTCTTAGTTTCCTCATCTTTGAACTGGAAATAAGGCCCTTCCCAGAGCTCTCTTGAGAGGGGAATGAGTGAACAAACTTGAGAGGCCTAGCATGACACATGGAACACAGAGAGCTGTGAGCGTCTCTGAATTCCCTGGCTCTGCAGATGGTGTCTCCCACTCAAGGATTCAGACAGAACTCGGAGGAACTGAGCAAATGGACTTATTTTCCCATTTGTACCACTTCTAAGGTGCTTTTGGGTTTTTTGCGGGGAGCTGATGGTACAGCTGGGCAGTAGAGCACTTGCCAAACACGTGTGAGGCCTTATGTTCAACTCCTAAGTACTTTGTCTAGATTTACTGGGATTCGAAATATCAGTGAGTATTGATATTTTCCCTAGAGCCTCCAAGGAGCAGAAGGGCAAATGCAGGAGGTAGAGAACTGGAGCAGCAGATTAGGGTCGTGTGTGGACAAGTGACAGTTCCTCATTATCTGAGTCTTGGCCCCCTGCCATGTTTCTCCATGGCTACATCAGTCTTCTCTGCTGCACAGACCAGAGGGGAAGTGGGATAAGTGGGCTGGACTGGCTGGTTTTCTGTGTCAACTTGACACAAGCTGGAGTGATCACAGAGAAAGGAGCCTCCCTTGAGGAAATGCCTCCAGGAGATCCAGCTCTAAGGCATTTTCTCAATTAGTGATCAAGGGTAGGAGGATCCATTGTGGGTGGTGCCATCCCTGGGCTTGTAGTCCTGGGTTTTATAAGAAAACAAGCTGAGCAAGCCAGAGGAAGCAAGCTGGTAAGCAGCACCCTCCATGACCTCTGCATCAGCTCCTGCCTCCAGGTTCCTGCCCTGTGTGAGTTCCAGTCCTGACTTCCTTTGATGATGAATAGCAATGTGGTTGTGTAAACTGAATAAACCCTTTCCTCCTCAACTTGCTTCTTGGTCATGATGTTTTGTTCAGGAATACAAACCCTGACATGGGACCAACCCAAAGTATGTAGAATAAACCACAAGGGCTAGAGAATGACATCTCAAAAGAGATCATCTTAGAAACAGAGGTAAGGCCTTCTTCTAGCGGAATATCCCTGTAGGGACAAGGAACATTTTAGAGACCTGCTGGCCAAGTCCACAGCTTGGCCCATTACCTTTTCTCAGCTGATACCATTGCTCCCAAGGGCTCTATGAGGGTGGTCACGAAGAGAGTGGGGCTGATACCCTTTGGGTACGACCCTACTACCTGCAGTATAAAACCCAACAGCTTGCCAGACACAACATTGTTAACTGACTCCCACGTGCCTCACCCATCTCATATTTCACCACATGGTGTAGATTGCTGTGTTAGTTAATAAGATCTGACTGGGCTATAAAAAGCTCAGAGAAATGAGAAGTGAAATTAAGTATAGGAATAGCTCATGAAACATAGCACACAGACACACATAAACTACAGCATCTGTATGCTGAATATGGGAAAGGATCAATGGACCATATGGGTACCAACTATTCATAGTACCTTTAATCTATATGAGGCACAAGGGATGTTCAATATTTACAAAGTTTTGAGCAAGCCATCCACTGATGAAACATATATGCAGATAACATCATGGTGGTTGGTTAGGCTAACTGACATGCTCAGCTACGGTTGCGTATGTATGCCCTTTTCCATCTCAGAGAGGGCAAGTGTGTATGTACCACAGACATAAGTACCTTTTATAGTTTGGGTCTGCTCATCTTTCATTCTGGTCTATGCAGCAGGGAAGATTGACACAACATGGGGGTGGGGGAGGCAGGGCAGGAGAGCACTGTGTAACTGGGACTCAGGTAATGTGGTGCGAACACTGACTATAAACCATTCTAACCTACTGTTCCATTACTCTACTCCCAACCCTGCTTCTAACTCTGTGTTTCAAATGGACTCACCAAACACTATGGTGAAACATCTTAATTTGGTAGGTGAGCCTATCTGCTCCAAGCCTATGGGATAACTGGTCTGATCAGGTACCTGGAGACCACAGTTCACCAGGTCACTGCCTATATGGCACTCTAAGCCCATAACTCTGCAGGCCCATGGGATTATTCGTCATTTCTCAAACACATAGCACTGTCCTGACTCTGAGCAAACACACAGTTCCTTCTTCTCATTATGCCTTTCTATTTAGTAAACTGCAACTGGCCTTATATGCTAGCTCTGGGTTCCCTTTTTAAGGAAATCTTGCTCAACTGTGCCAAGTGAGTTAGTCCCTCATCCCCTGCACCCTCCTAGTGCCACATAACTGTCTTACGGAACCCACTCTTTGACACCCACTCTACTGTCCATAGTGGTATTTCATTGTGTCTCTTTGGTTCACTGAACAGCTCTTCCCATGGCCCCTACTGCCACCACCTCTAGGTGGTCAGTGATGTGGAGGAGAGGAAAATGATACCTGACCACTGTCAAAGAAGTTTAAGGGACCTGGTGCACCCGAAGCTGTCTCTGCTGACCCCTAGTGATAATAGGAGAAAATTGAAGTAATAAAATTGATGTGATAAAGGATTTACTAATAAACTTGCTTAGGAGACATTAAGTCACATAAAGTAGAACTTAGCTAACTAAGGGAGCAGTGATTCCCAAAATACCTCAAAAGTAAGTGGATTACTAACCAGGCTTCCTAGAGGTAGTTCAAGTTTAGCACGATGGGAAAACACCTGTCAATGTTTGTTCACCAGAATTGCCCTCCAACTAGGGTTCCATTCCCATGGCAAAGAAGACACCCTGTCTTAGTTAGGATTTTATTGTTGTGAACAGACACCATGACCAAGGCAACTCTTATAAGAACAACATATAATTGGGGCTGGTTTACAGGTTCAGAGGTTCAGTCCATTATTAGCAAGGTGGGAGCATGGCAGTGCCCAGGCAGGCATGGTGCAGGAGGAGCTGAGAGTTTAACATCTTCATCTGAAGGCTGCTAGGAGAAGACTGGCTGCCAGGCAGCTGGGATGAGGGTCTTAAAGCCCACGTAACATACTTCCTCCGACAAGGCCACACCTCCAAATAATGCCACTCCCTGGGCCAAGCATATACAAACCATCACATTCCACTCCCTGGCCCCCATAAGTTTGTTCAAACTCATGAGTATATAGGGGTCATATCTAAATATAGCATAATATAAAATACATTTATTCCAATTTCAAAAGGCCCCTAGTCTATAGCAGGCTCAATAAACGTTAAAAGTCCAAAGTCCAAAGTTCAAAGTCTCTTCTGAGTTTCATCCAATTACTTAAGTGTAATTCCAAAAGCAAAACAGGAAATCAACTGTGCAAACTCCAAACTCTGCATCTCCATGTCTGATGTCAAAGCAGTCTTCAGATCTCCAACTCCTTTTTTATCTTTGTTGGCTGCAACAAAGTTCTTTCTCTAATTCCAACAGGGAGGATTGATTCTGCTTCCTGTTAGCATCTTTCCTTAGCAGATGTTCCATGGCTCTGGCATCTCGAACATCTTGGGATCTCCAAGGCAACTTCAATGTTACAGCTTCTTGTTCCAATGTCTGATATCTACACATGATCTTCTAGGTTCCTCCAAAGGGTCACATCTCCAGCTCTGCTTTCAGTAGTACTCTTGGCTCTGTTTGACTCTACTCCACTGCTGTTGTTGTTCTTGGTGATCATCCTATGGTACTGCAATACACTGGGGTCTTCTGCTGCAACTAGACTTCACCAATAGCCTCTCATATGCTCTCTTTATGGTGTGAAGTCTCATCTTCTTTGCATGACCCCTTCAGACCTGGGCTGTCAACTGCAACTGAGGCTGCACCTGCACCAGTTGCCTTTCCTGGCCTCTCACAGTACCAAGTCTCAGCTGTGCCATGATCCTTTCATGCCTTAAAACCTGTACCACCTGGGTGATTCTTACACATTACCAAGTACAGCTGCAGCATGAGGTACAACCTTGGCTATCTCTGGAACACAGCTTCTTTGTGCTCTCAGAAAACACTTCCCAGATTTCACCTCAGTGATGCTGGTTTCTTCTTAATCACTGTTAATTTCTTAGCTCCAGCTAACCAGACTTGTCCTAGTAGTCCCTTCTATTCTTGACTCTAAAGCCAGAGCCATGTGGCTGAAGCTGCTGAATTCTGCTGCTTGCTGGGGCTGGAACATGGCCCCCTTGTTATATTACATCATCACCAGCTTTCTGCTTTCCAACTCCTTCACTGCCTAAGCTTGGCTGTCCTGGAACTTGTTTTATAGATTGAATTCAGAGATCTGCATGGCTTTGTCTCCTGAATGCTGGGATGAAAGGCATGTACCACCATGCCTGGCTTTAAGATTTTCTTTACTTGGAAGTTGCTCTATACCAGGCTGGCCTTGAACTTATCGATCTGCTTGCCTCTGTCTCCTGGGATTAAAGGTGTGTGCCATCATACTTGGACCTAAACTCAGCTGGGTAGAATCTTGCCCCAAGGTCACTACTCTGTTAATCTGTTTATCTCCTTGAACATAGGATTCAGCTTCATTTCACTTCCCGGGGCCCCTTTATTACTTGAACCATATATTTTATATTTTTTCCTTTCTCAACTTGCTCCTTTTCAATAAAATGATCTTCATAAGACTAAACCAGAGAACAAAGTCTCTGCTGGGCTTTCTTGAGACTTTCCTTAATCAATGGAATTAATATAAATCTCTTTACCTTAGACTTGGGTAGACTCTTCAGAGAAGGGCAGAAGTAGCCACATTATTCACCAAAATACCACAAAACAGTCTCTTGGTCACCCACTGAAATTCTTTTTCACTGAAACTACTTGGGCCAGGTCTGCACAGTCTTCCACATTCCTACTAGAATAGCCCCACTTAAAGCATTCCTCTGCTTTCCAAATCCAAAGTCCCCAAATCCATATTCTTCCAAACAAAAGCATGGTCAGGCCTATTACAACAATATCCCAGACCCTGGTCCCAACTTCTGTCTTAGTTAGGATTTTACTGCTGTGAACAGACACCATGACTATGACTAAGGCAACTTTCATAAGGACAATATTTAATTGGGGCCGTCTTCCAGGCAGTTAGAATGAGGGTCTTAAACTCACACCCACAGTGACACACTTCCTCTAACAAGGCCACACCCACCCCAACAAGGCCACACCTCCAAATAGTGCCACTCTGTGGGCCAAGAACATTCAAACCACACCCCCTTAACTTACAACTAGCCATTAGGCCCTTTCCCATATCAAAGACCATGCTTCTAAGAGGCAACTCAAGAGGAAACTCAGGGTGACCACTGTCATTAAGACCTGGTATATCATAAAACATAGTTCTGCCAGGTGGACAAGATGGCCCCAGATAGCAACTATTCAAAAAGAACAACACTAGTGTATTTGAGAAATAACTGTGGCAACATCTTCTCTGTGTAAATCTCCCATCTGTCCATGTGGCTGGATTTGTAGTCTCCTGTCTCTGTTTAAATTGTTCCAAGTGTAACTCTGCAATTGGGATCTAAAGAAGTTTAAGAGTGATAGTGTATTTGGAATTAATAAGCCAAAGGCATATACAGGCTGGTCAAGTCTGTTGAAAGCTTATTCCCTTTTGCGTATTAGCAGAACCAGTTAACATGCTATTAATTTCTAAATGCGCAGAGTGACTTTTCACTGTGAAGATATATAACAGCAGCACACAGTAGGCTTATTAGGTGCTTGCCTGTATCTTGGTGGCAAGTGTCAACAAAGGGAGTCTGGTATCCTTTAGATACAATTCCTGTGGTATATACTGTTCCAGGGCACTCACTGGAAATAACAGAGAGGCCAGCCATAGTCATCTAGGCACAATCCAGGAGGCAATGGTGTCCTGGGAGGGACCCAGTGACATCATCAGACTTAGGACTCAGAGGTCAAGATGGAAGCCAGACAGCCAAATTGTTGCAGGGTAGGGGAAAGAAGAAGAAGGAGGAGGAAAGGAAAGAAGGAGGTGAGAGCCACTTGAGGAAAGATATCTCAGGAAGTTTACAGAAGCTATGTTACATGGGGGCAGGGACTGGAAAAACTGTCCAGCAGGATGCTGTTTCCCTTATCCCGAAGGACTGTTCACACAGATGCCCTGGCTGTGTAGCTGCACCCTGCAATTAGATTTTTATGTCTTTTTGAAATGTTCTATGTGTTTGTTTTGTAGCGAGAAGAAAAATCCTTAGAAACCAATCAGTGAGATTTTCATTCCAAATATTATATTTCTAAAAAGCCCAATATAAAGAAATCCAACATGCAAATAAAAATTTCTTTAAAAAGAAAACCTAGCTAGATGGATGGTGGTGGTGCACACTTTTAATCCCAGTACTCCGGAGGCACACGCAGGGGTGGGAGGACCTTAGAGTTGGAGGTCCGTCTGGTCTACAAAATGGGCTCCAGTATAGTCAATGCTATACAGAGAAATGTGGCCTCAAAATAAAACAAACCCAACCAAACAAAACCCTCCACCACCACTAATGACAATGACAAAATAACCTCAAAATTTAACATGTATAAAAGCAATGACATTAAAGGATCCATTCAAACAGACATCATGAAATGGACTCCATCACAAACACCAGCATGTTCCCAGTTCCAGGGACTGGCCCTGTCCAGGTTCTAGTGTCTGAGTGATGCTTGGTTTCTGGAGTGCAGACGGGTGAAGGGCACTTACTTGATCATCTGCGGCACGGAGACTTTGGAAACTTCTTCAAAGGCATTCGTGATGAGCTCATTGCAGCGGATATTATCCACGCACTGGAAACAGAGAGGATCCTAGGCTCAGAACCCATTCTCCAGACTGGAAGCCAGACCTACCTGGATCACTCGAAGCCTGATCACAGGGTGCTCAGGTTTCAAGGCAACTGTCTAAGAAATGGCGAGGCCAACACAGCATCATTCAAATTTTGGAAGTCAAGTGACCTTGGGGGATTGACTTGACTTTCCTGAGTTTGTTTCCTTATCTGCACAGATGGGTTTAATGGCATCATTTTTTACCAGGGTGTTTGCCAAGCAGATGCATAAGACTGTGGCCACTCTGCTGCACCCTTTGAAACCGGTGTCAAGGATGAGGTTGCCCCACAGTGATCTGTGCTCTCTGGGAAGCTGCCTAGTGAGCTTCTGTACTAGAGTGTGTAGAGTACATGTGTCCTGTGCCCATCCCCCAAGTGCCAATGCTCCAATGCTGGAGGTGGTTTTGGTCCTACATTTCCAGTCTATATGTGGGGAGTGCCCTGGGAAGTGAAAGGGTGTGATGCAAGCTGGCAGCAGGGATGATGGTGGGATATTTATCCACTCTCTGAAAAAATTCAAAAGCCCAGTTGTCCTTTGAATAAGAAGAGCCTTCCCAAATAACACTGAAAGATAACATCTTTTATGCCTAGTGAAGTGCTCCATGTCTGTAATCTGGCACTTAGGAGGTTGATCACAACTCAGGAAGATCACAAGTTTGAGACAAGCCTGGGCTGCATAGTAAGACTGTCTTCAAACAAAATTAAAAACCAACCAAATTCAGAAGGTTAATCCTGGAGGAGCGGGGGGAAGGGGCTGCCTCCTTTTACCTCCTGGCCTTGTACTTAACATTTCTGCTGTGGAGGGGATTCCTCTTAAATCCCTTGAGGGGGAGCTCTGTACATATCACAGAATCTTATGGCCTTGAGGTTGTGAGCTAGTGGAGGCCAGCACTAAGGTCACTGGAAAGTGGAAACAGCCATAGTGGGTGGCAGGTGCCCCAGGCCCAGTCCCCATGTAAAAGCCAGGTGAGCAGAGGAAGTAGCATACAGGGAAAGGTTCCTGTCATTTGTGTTTACCAGCTCGACTTCTCTACCAACCACTCCGACTTTCTTTCGAGCTCATTCTACCAGCAGCTCCAGTCAGAGTGCTATGGAGAGGTCCTCTGTAAGCTGCCAGGATGGTTCTTGAAGGGAAGGGGCAGGGTGGCCCATACTCATGGGCATCAGCAATGTTGTTAGAGGGCAAAGATCCCTGTGGATCCCTAGAGGTGAGTAGCCAGCCTTTGATAGCTGTGCCTGACTGGGGACAGGAAACAGGTTTGATCTCTCCATTTTCTCTAGAACTTGGTAGTTTTGTTTTTTGTTTTTGTTTTGGCATGCAACTCAAAAGAATTTGCACTATATATAATCCCACTGTGCCTTGGTCCTCTGTGGATTCAAGAGAGGTGAGTTGCCAGAAGGCCTAGCAGCTGATGTCCCAGGAACCAAGCAATGTTGATGTCTGCAGCTTTTATGGACTGCCTGGGCATTCAGTTTAATTTAGAATTACACAATATGAAAACAGATCCCTGGTGTTTTACTATTTCTCTTCATCTGGAAGTTTCTTCCAATTTTTTTTCTTTTTTTCTCCTCAGTGCTGGAGATTGAACCCTGCTTTGAAGCAGGACACAGAGGTAAGAAGGCAGGGAGCTGGTGAGAGTAGCCTTTTTGGTATAGTGAGTACCCTGCCCTTCCAGTGTCCTGTAGGCACAGGGCTCCTCCCCAAGTCCCCAAGACAAAGGGAGGAAAGCCAGCCATAGTTGTCTTTCCTGATGTCAGCTGCTCACCTAACCCCTCCACCCAGCTCTTCAGAAAGCATGGCCACCGATGGAAAACTCTAGGACCAGGCTCTTGCCTTGGAGGGGTGTAACACTACCCCTTTTTCTGGAGCCCAAGCCAGGAGCTGCTGACAGCCCCGTAACTAGATTCAACTTTGAACCTCTCGTACTTCCAGTGCCCCAATTATCTTGGGCTGTTGACTTTTCAGGAAAAGCCAATGTTTCCTGATTAATGGTTAAATAGAGCCAGGAGAACAACTCTACTGCTTGCAATAGACAAAGGACAAAACTTTATCTTTCTCTAGTACACAGATGCTGTCTTGGACCTCGGCAGGCTGTCCTGACTAACTGGAGTAGGTGCCCGGGTGTCTCAGGGCTGTGGAGCTCTCTTCTGCCACATCAAAACTCCATAGATGGTAGTGCCAAGACTTTGTGTGTGTGCATATAAGGACGTGGAGATTAGACTGGAATGCAGACACTCTCGCCATTCACGGGTCTGGGGAGTGTGGAACAGAGCCTGGCAGTCTTAAGGGTTTACTGCCATACTGCAAATGGTACTCATTGGCTGGGTCAGCCTCCATGGACCTAGACAGCTCTGGTCTTTTCTAGTAGAACAATTCAGCTGTGCTCTGACCATCCAGACTCCTCACCAGGCCAAATATGAAGGGACAATGTGCTCTGAGGGACAAGTAATGCTGCTCACCTGCATAATGTCACTGACCCACGCTGCCTTCTCCTGCGGGGTTGAGGCCACCAGGGTGATCGTGAAGGACGGGGACTCCTTTGGCTCCACCACGATCTTAAAGTCCAAATGTTCTACCTCTTGTACAGCTGCTCTGGCTTTTTCAGTGACAAAATATGAAGTTAGCAGAGTGAGTGTGGATTTTTGTGAGCTGGATAAGGTTCTCTGGTCCCTAACTCATGTACCAGTAGAGGCTCAGGTGGGACACCAGGCTACTTAGCTGCTCCTTTTAGAATAGTGATTTATGATTTTGGCTGAGTGAGAGTCACCATTTCAAAAAGGAAGAAACTGAAGATCTGGCATGCACAAGTAATTTATAGGTACACAGATTCTTGATTCAGAGTCTGAACCACTAAGTAGTACACCTTCTGCCTTCACTACACCAATGGATTCTGAGCCAGGATTCAGCTAAGTCTACTAGCAGGGACACAGCTATGCCAGGGTCAGATGGGTCTCACAACCCAGCCCTCTGGCTAACACATGGGACAAGTAACATTGACATCTGAAACTCTTCTGGACAGGGCTGAACATCCAGTTTGGCCGATGTGAAAGTAAATGCCTGGTATTTTATTACTACTGATCTCCAACTCTCTTTATCTTTGTTCTTTTCAGTGCCAGGGATCAAATCCAGGACACGACACATGCTAGGCCCTGGAACTCTTGAGAGCTGTTTACTGGAAAGACTGAGTTCAAAATCTTCTCTCTAAGGGCACACAATTGTGAGAACCACCTGGTCTAGGTTGTTCCCTCTATTTTTTTTTTTTTTTTTTTTGCATCTGAGTCAGGGGCCATCATATTTGAGCATCTGCTTTCCCTGAGCTCCAGCATTGCTGAATGAGCATGTGTGCACATGCATTCAAGATCCTGTATGAGTGTTCAAACAAATTAGTAGCTTGGACACTTACCTTCATCTTTCCTGGTTTCTTGTTCATCCAGTAAGCTGCAGTTGATGAGGGATATGACTCCGTTCTGAAAAAGAGAAGTAGGCACTACTTTGGATCAGGAGTCCACATGCTAGAGTAGGGGTCCCAAAGGATCAGGGTTGGAAGAGTCTCTACACCAACCAGCCACACATCCACAGATGTGTATGTATGTCTCATATGCTGAGTAGGCAGTTTGCTTTGCAAGCAAAGTATGTTGGCTTCCTCTACAAAGCCCTTGGAGGTGGGTGAAATGAGATTTTCTCAGGTAGACCACCCCTGAAGAAGGCTGAGGTCAAGCTGTGGACAGAATCTATCTGGTTTGGCTTCCTCTTGCCCCATCAGCATCTCTGAGAATTACTTCTTAGCCCCAAATCTATAAAAATGTGAAATCCTCTGTTCTTGGCCAATTCCTTCATGTTACCGATGGTGAAACAGGTCAGGTTTATGGGTCCATTATATGTATTGCTAACTCAATTTTATAGATTAAGAAATGAAGTCAGAGAGGTTAAGTCTCTGTTCAAGTCACCGGGTCAGCTATTGGTGGAGTCCTGAGAAAAAGCCTCCAGGGACTCATCCCAGCCCTAGGTCAGCAACTCATTTACTATTTCCAGGGATACCTTGCTGGTGGAGCCTCTCACTTTGACACAGTAGTGAAAAGAGACTCTGGTGGCAGTCCTCCTATCCACAGACTCTTTGACACCTCCTTTTCAACGTGGAAGAATAATTCCTTTCCTCTTAGGTGTGGGCTGGGCTGTTACCAGCATTGAATGAAAAGAGCCAAATGACAGCTAAGGCACAGCTCTGGGAAGTGGGGCTCTGGGAACTGCAGCCTTGTGCCTGCTCCCTCACAGGGGGAGTGGGTGCTATGCTGTGGGGAGGGAGAGGTGAGGAGTTGAGGCCTCCAGCTGGCAGTTCCTCGAATGAACCATCTTGGTTGGGTAAGGTTTTTGAGCCTGGCAAATGTTGCTATTGCAAACTAGAGCCCTGAGCCAAGACCACTTCTAAGCCGCTTCTGACCTCCTGACCCACATCTGTGAGACAGTGTTTATTTTCCAAGAACGGATGTTAATATAGAGCCAGCCACGTGACCGATCTATACATGAAATACTGGGCAGGCTGCCCACTTTTTTTTGTTGTTGTTGTTACAAAACTCAGAATTTATTTTTAACTACTTGCTTGGATCATTATGGTCTCGTGTTATATATAGGCTTCTGCTTGTGAGGACAGAATCCAAGGGGATTCCCAGGCCCTGGCACCTGCTTCTTGCTTCCTTCCCTGATGGCCTTTCAAAGTTCCCAGGACTTTTGAACAGTAACCTTGCCCTATGATTTCACGGGACTTGACAATCCTGGAAGCCCCTGAAGATCTGATACTTTCTCATTCACTTGTAATGCTGAGGTTAGAACGCAGGGCTTTCTGCACGCTAGGCAAGCACTCTACCACCAAGCTACACCCAAGCTGGAATTCTCTTACTGGCTTATTTTACTTCCTTTATCTTATTTGTGAACTGGGAAAGTGACAGTGTCTGCCTCATAGGTGCTCTAGGAATTAAATATGCTAAAACACTTGGGATAGGGACTGGTCATGGTAATCATTATATTGGAGGCCTTATTGTTTGTAATATGACAGGCTTATTATCATAGAATGTACAGTGACTGTTAAATTTATTGAGAATTTATTGTACCAGGCACCTGGTACTCCCTTAGCATTCCTGGGATTTATTTTATGTATATGAGTACACTGTCACTGTCTTCAGACACACCAGAAGAGGGCATCAGATCCCATTATAGATGGTTGTGAGCCACCATGTGGTTACTGGGACTTGAACTCTAGACCTCTAGTTGGGTAGTCAATGTTCTTAGCCACTGAGCTATCTCTCCAACCCTATCTGGGAAATATTTTTATATTCATTATGGAGATGAGGATACAGGTTTAGTGAGGTCACATGATTTGTTTGATGTTTGCCTGGTACACAGTAGTGCTAGAATTTGGCCAGTGCTTTGATCATGTGTTCTTTGCAAGCAGGCTACCCTTTAAAACTATTTTTAAAATTTTTAGTTCGTGTGTGAGTATGAGTATTTATTTGTGAATGAGTGTGTGCATGGGTGCATGCGTGTGTGCATGCGTGCATGCATATGTATGTGTGACAGGTGCACAGGTACCCATAGAGGCCAAAGAGGAAGTCAGATCCTTTGGAGCTGGAGTTATGGGCAGCTGTGAGTCATCTAATATGAATGCTGAGAACCAAAGGAGTCGTCAGAAGAGCAAGTGCAGAGCCCTCTCCAGCTCCCAGGCTAACTTTTCAGAACTCAAAAACAAATAATAATAATAATAATAATAATAATAATAAAAGCCAACATAAAACAGGAACTTTCAGTTTCAGATCAAGGATCTGACTTCGAGTCTCTACTGCAGCCTGCCTGTGCTTACTCTACTGCTGAAGGGTAGGAGACCTGACCCTCCCAACCTGGACAGAGACATCTGGAGTAGAACCTGGAGCTAGCAATTAATGAAAGCCTCTCTTAACACACAGTTTATTGGAACCTGAGTGTATAATATTTGTAAATTAATTACTCCTTGTGCAGTCAACCAGCTAATCTATTGACATGTTAACATAAGCAGTGTATTCTCTAAAGCCTGTCCTTGATCTAATACCTCAACAGGAGGTTACAGACCAGGCATCCGGGTCCCTGAAGGAAGGTTTCCCTGATGCTCTCACTAAAGTAAGGGCACCTTCTGGCCCTTCTCAGAAGACAGCATGTTCACATCTGAAATCCCGTCTGCTTCCACGGGATAGACATAGTGTGTGAAGAGACGGCAGCATAGAGGAACAGGATCTCATAATCAGCATAGCAAACTCATAGGCACTGTCAGCTACCTCATGTGTTATTTCTGTGGGGACTGTGATCTTTGTTTGACTGATGAAATGTACACAGGACAAGGACATTTCCAAGATCACATGGGTGACAGAGCTGGGGCCAGCTAGGGTTCAGAGCAGTGAGACCATCAGTGAGTAGTGTTGGGGAGCAGTAGTTTTGGCTTGAACCCCAGGCTTTACCACAGAGCTGCATTTGAGCAAGTCTTAAAGGACATGCCCAAAGGGTCTTGTGTTTTGCCCAGAGAACATGCTTGAAGGGTCTGCTGAAGAAGAGGTAAGGCTGTGTGTAGTTGAGTACATAGCAGGAGCAAAGGTTCTGGGGTCTAGATGCTTATTCCTCTCTACCTACTGGGACAAACCAGGCCATTGATCTTGTGCTACAAGAGGGAAGACAGTTCAGCAGCTTCCTAGAGTCACCTGACCTAGGAAGGCCTCTTGTGACAGAGAAGTGGGTGTCTGGGAAAGTCAGGAGGGTTTTGTCTAAGAACCTTTGCGTAGAGATGACAGAGAACAATGCTATGTGTTGCTCTAATCCTTGGCTGGAGGGGACCCTCCACTCTCCCCAACACCTCTATCAATATAACAAACACACACACTCGCATAATCATAAGCTCATACTTGTGCCTCGAAGGGTTGGTTAGAACTTCTGACTAGCTGTGGGAGTCTCTGGGGCCTGATACCACCTTCTCGGATCCATGATTTCTTCGGGGGAAGATACCAGGGGGTGTTCTACTTATTTCCACCCTCAGCTTAACTAGGGTGTGTCTATGTGTGTACAGGTATGTGCTCTCATACCCACAGACTCCCAACAAAGGGCTTCAGCATCCTTCCCTAGCATCAGGCTCCAGCCCTGAAGAAAAGAAGGAAGCTGTATGTGCCCGAGTCCCGGGACCTGCAGCTCCTCTCCCGTGGCCTTACCTTGATTAGGTGCAGTTTCTCACCAGAGCCTCTGGTGCAGATGATGAGATGCTTGGTGAACAGGAAACACTGGCGCTCATACTCTTTCTTTATGGACCGAGACCCCAGGCGGCCCCTGCTGGTCCTGCCCCTTTCTGTCGTGAGCACCTGGATGAGGGCGCCTGTAGGAACAGGGGGTAGTGGTGAGGAGGGTCTGAGCCTAGCCTCAGATGGCATGGATGACACTACCTTCTGGCCCAGCCTTGGAGGTGGAGGTACAGCCACATGTGGTTGTGGAACAAGGTAGCCCAAATGTCCTGGCCACTCTTTCCAGCTTAGCCTCATAGCCAGAGGGTGGAGAAAATGAGGGCTCTATACAGGGTCTCAAAACCTCCCAGCCAGGGGCCAGAGTCGTGGCAAGCAAAGGGGCCCTAAAAGAAATGGAGAGCTGGGCTGAGGTTTGGAAATAGCACTGAGTAATGAGGCTGAAGAAATGGGGATCTGGCGGCAGGTTCTGGTGTCTTGGCATGATGTATTGTATAGCTGTGGCCACAGCAGTTATCACCAATTAATTTTGGCACTTAGCTTCAGAGCCCAGACTGAGCGTGTGATGATCCTCAGTATAATACAGTAAAAAGGCATTGCTGGACAGAGTAGCTGGCTGTCTCTACTCTGATTGTTCCATGCAACATCTACTCTATAGGTTCCTTTTCTGTTGTCCTCACTGTTCTCAGGGATCAGGCACTCAGACCTCCTTGGCATGGTTTGCATTGGGCTTACCTCCCAGCTCCTCTCCTCTCTGTCTTCATCTCTCTGTCCTATAGCAAATGTCATTCTAGACCACACTGGCTAGCCTCTCTAGGAAAGCCTCTCTCCCCTGACTTCCCCACCCTGCTCTTTGTCTGCTGCAACTGAGATGTCCATTTGTGACAGGCCTTCTTCTGCAAGGTGGGGCTTGCTCTGTTCTCTGGGATCCCTGGAGCCCCACGGGGATCTGGTGTGCACGGGGCAAGGGTCAGTGTTGGCTGTGTGGCTGAACAGTGGGAAGGTCTGGGAGGGGCTCCAGGTCCTGCTCCAGTACAGAGGAGGAAGTGCTTTTCCTGGGTGATATGGCAGCTTCTTGGCCTTGGAGGGGACTGTCTACTCCCGGAGGGGCATTTTTTCAGGGTTTTCTTCAGGGAGAGAATTCATGGGAATGCCTCTTACATAGTTCATATCTTGTGCAACTCAGGGAGATATAGAGATTGGGACCTGCCTCTGGGCTTCCTGCGTCAGATGGCCCTCCTGGGGCAAAATGCAAGTACCATCCATGGAACATATTGTATATCAGATCATCCCCAGAGGCCAGATTCTGATGTACAGATCAGTGTAAGCCTTGAACAGAGCTATTTACTAGTTAGAGAGTGCCAGACCTGAGTGGAGGAGATGCTGGGAGATTATTCGCAGGGCAGAGATCCATCTGGGGCAAATGAGCAAGTGCTGAGTTTCCCAGCAGTACGAAGTGACTTTCAAATGGACCACAGCTTTGCTGTCTCTGATCTGTGGAGAGCTATTGGGGCTGCTTGGCAGAAATCTGACATTGGCCAAGGACAAGGAAATGGGCTTCAGGCAGGAATCTGATTTTGGGCCATGACAAGGAAGTAAGTTCAGGCAGGAGTCTGTTTTTAGGCTAAAACAGAGAAGTAATTTCAGTCAGGAATCCAAGTCTTGGGCTAGAACAAAGAAGCAGGCCTCAGGCTTGAATATGACTGTGGGCTAGGACAAGGAAGTAGGCTCAGATACTTTGTCATCCTGATGAGCCCTTAGAAACAGCGATCATGAGAGTGATCACGGGGTGATCACAGGACTCTGTATATTGCCTTGTTTGTTCCTTGACTGTTTGTTTCTATTGTATTGTTGGTTCCTCAACCTAGAACTGACCTAAATACTTGCATGTAATTAAAAGGGCTTAAAAGAAAAGTTGAATTAAACAAACCTGCCTTCAGCCTCAGAACTGGCTGAGGTCATGCTACAATTTTGTCTAATCGTCTCTTTTCTTTTAATCCTCACTCCTGCACTGGAGAACCTGTTGACTGACTGAGTGGGCTTGGTCACTGATCCAACAGGAGTTCAACAGGGCTATGCCATCCAGACCCATCCTCAGGGTAGGCAGGAGCCAGAGGTGGTAAGACCCATTTCGATGAGAAGCACTGAGCACAGGCATCCCTCCCAATACCTCTGGTAAATTCTATTCTCAGGGCCAGTCGATATCTGTCTCTACCAAAGGACAGGTCAGAGCTTACAACAAAAAGCCCATGGCTAATCTGTGTAGTAGACTTATACTTGGTGTGACTGAAGACCAGTAGTATCTGCGTGTATGTGTGTGTGTGTGTGTGTGTGTATAAGTTCTGCTTCCACGTCAAGCTTCTGCACCCCTGCTGTCCAGAAGATTACACAGTCATAGTTGCAGGCCAGTCCACTGATGATGTACCTGAGTGCCACCCTCCTCTCAGGGACCCCTCAGTGGGGTGCAGAGCAGCCGCCCTACCTTGGCGCACGAAGGTCTGGCTGGTGTCAAGGAGGATGTCACAGCCCTCTACGATCATACGCTCAATGGTCAGGTTTTTGCGGATGTTCTCGGTCTCACTGACTTCGTCATGCATGACCCTGGGGAGATAGGAAGTAAGAGATATGCTGTTCCACTTTCAGGGAGAGGGGATGCTGAGTCTCTGGGCAGACCTATGAAGAGAAGTTCAGGCGAGGGACCCACGGTTAAGAAAGGGAAAGGGATTCATAAAAGGGATTCATATTTACTGAGTGTCAACTGTATCCTGGACACTGGCCAGGCTCCATCTGGTTTAATCCCCTGGCAGCCCAAGTCGCCAGATGCTTGTTTTTGGAAAAATGAAGTGGAAATTGGCAGTTAGGAAGCAGGTTGGTCATATTTCAGTATTGAATGTTGTAGGATAGAGAATAGATCCAGTTCAGGAGGGAGATGTGAACCCAGGACACCATTGTTTGTTACCCATGTCTTCCTATTCTTATTCACAAAAAGTTCATTACGCCTGTACTCTTCCTCAGGCTGTTCCTTTCTTGCCGGGAATTGAACTCAAGGTCTTGAGGATGTCACTCTACCACTGAGCTATGTACTAGATATTTCTGCCATATCTTTACATGGCTGTGCTTTTAATGTTACATAGGCCTTGGAATATTATGGGGTTTGCGAATGCCTGCCAATTATGCTGGCTCAGACAAAGACTGGCTTTTTATCTACCTGCCTTCTGGGAGGAAAACAATCTGTTTGCTTTTCTGTCTTCTGTAACTCTAGTACTGTCCAGGAGATGGCGCCATTTAATTACATTGAAAAAATAATGGGGGGGAAGGGGGGTTCTCTAGCAATTTTGCTCTGGTGAGTTCCCAGGCTTTTTAGGCAAGCAGAGAAGCACTGAGAAATCCCTATCCACTTCAAGAAGAGCACATCTCATGCTTTCCTGCCTATTTCTGAAGTTCTAGTCAATGTCACCAAGAGGTCTGATGGCCACAAGTGGTTTAACCTAAGGGGAGAGGTGTTTGTGTGGTTTTTAAAATGAGCAAAGCACTCAAGCCTCAGCCAGCAGATTCTCAGTTGTCCATATGTGGAAAATTGGGGAGGAAGTGGAACTCAGCATTTTAGTGTGCTGTTTTTTAAAATATTTATTTATTTATTTTTTATGGTTTAGGAGTCCTATTTTAATTTAAACTCTCTGGGATATCTAGACTGGCTCCCTTCTCTAGCAGCCTCAGTTTCCTCTTTTTCTCCACAAAAATGTTTTTCTGAGACACCCATTTCCTAAAGAACACCAACCAGTTCTGTTTGAGAAGTGTCAGAGGCAGAGAGGACATTTCTCATGGTGAGGGCATAGTTTTGCTTGGGTATGTTGGACTCTGAAAGGCACAAAGTGGGAACTCCTCGGTGGCAGGCAGACTTGACAATGGTAAGTTCTACAGGGTAACTTCTACAGGGTACATTCTACTTCCAAGGCAGACTGGTGCTGGGGACCGATGTGCACACATAGCTACCGAGTTCTTTGAAGGACTTTAGGGCCCTGGAAGTGACGGTTATCACTGTGTTATCAGTGGTGCTACAGTGGAGGTTGAGGATAAAATGGCAAGACAAACTCCTGGTCCTTAGGGAGAAAAACAGTTGGAGGTCTAGGAGGAGGTAGAGTTCTGAGAACAGCTAGTGTCTAGGTTGGAGAAGGAGGTGTGGTTCTTAGTCTAGCCAGGGCTTGGCTATCTGATGGTTTCTTATCTTGCTCAGATACTTCCCTGAGCACTCTATGGAGGCGGGGATGGGGTGGGGTGGGTGAGAGAACACTCCAATGTGCCATTAGGGCTTAGGAGAAGGTGCAGGTGCTGGGTGGAAGGAAGAGAGAGTGGAATGCATACCTAGGTCTTAGTCCAAATATCTTGGCCTCTCAGGCCATCTGCACCTCAGACATGTATCTCTCAGTAAGGAGGAGCCTCAGGGGTATCCTAAGGCCTTTTTCTCTGGGGAGGGAGGAACACATAGGATTTGGACCTGCAGAGGGTCCTTTCTTCCTCCCACACTGCACTGCACTCTGCAGTTACATACCTCCATATGCTTCCCCTGGTCCTCTGTCCTGTCTCAGTAACTCAGCTGGGTCTCAGAAGGATCAGGCTAGGGAGTTTGTCTCCTGCCTGTCTCAGCCTGTTCTTTTGCTTGGCTTGGAGCTGAGACCTGCCTGTTGTCCTCTGCTTGAGTATCTAAAGACATCTTGTCTGGAACTTCTTGTCTTCTCTCTTTCTCCCACCCAGTCCATTGGGAAATTCTACTAGCTCTGCCTAGGGACAGGGCAAGGAGGGACAGACAGTGATGGCGGATGAGGAGAGAAGGCAAGAGCCCTGCCTTTGCCTCCATTCCCAATCTAGGCCACTCCCCCTTCCTGCTTCTGCTCTTAAAGAGGAAGGCCCCCTCTGGACTGTAGGACAGAGAGCAGGGCAGGTGAGGAATTCTAGACTAGAGGACTAGAGTGTCCTTAACCGTCACAGCTTTTCTGCCTGTTACCTCTTGCGGTTGTGGGAATTCCAGCTAGTCACTTGGGGACCCCATCCTTGGTGGTGAGGCTATGCTCACCACAATGTTTTTGCTTGATTTTTGAATAAGGCCTCATAGAGTCCAGGGTAGCCTTGAAATGTAAACTTTAGATTCCCCTGTCTCTATTTCATAAGTGCTGGGATTTAACGGTTCACCATAGCTGGTTTTATGTAGTACTGGGTACTGATCACAAACTTGCTCTCGTGCATGTTGGGCAAGCATTCTCTCAACTAAGCTATATTCCTGCCTTGTTCTTGTTTAAAACTTCTTTTTTAAAAAATACAGTTTTAAGTCGCTTACTTAGGCTGTCTTCCAACTAGAGGCTGGCTTTGAACTTCTGAACTTCCTGCCTTCATCTTTTGAGTACTAGAATTTTATAGGTGTCTAACACTAAACTTGGTTTACCACTACCGGGTTTGACAAGCTGACACTGTAAAAAGGGAAGTAGGTGTTGAAAATTCCTGGAAGCCCTCTCCTGAGTCAGGGGTACTTGAATGCCAGGGTTCTGCAGGTTCCACCAGTGCCAGTGACAGCCCCCCCACCCCCGGCTGCTTCATCTAAGCCTGCGTGTAAGCTGTGAAGGTCAGTCAGGGGACCCAGCTTTGAAAGGAGCAGGCTATGATTTCCTGAGGCAATTCTCAGCCCTGCCCTGCCCACCCCTTGCGCCGTCTGGGCACTCACCTGGACAGTTCCTCTAGTTTGGATTTGGCATAGTCCAGGCTGTTGCGCTCCACATGCTCATTAGGTGTGTGGGCCAGCAGCTCATGGAGTGTCAGGATGTACCTGGGGATCTGTGAGCGGTGGGGGACATGGAAGGACAGAGCCAGAAAGATGAGGGACAGGTGGAGAGACAGACAGGGACAGGAATCCGAGGAGGGACAGGGCAAGGTGGGAGAGTGACAGTCAAGGAAGACAAGTGATGCATGGCAATGAGGAGAAGGACAGAAAGCAAGAGAGTCAAGAACGGTTCGTTGAACCCGAGAGACTGAGGAGGGAAGCAGACTGCATTTCTGATGTGCCTGGAGAGCCAGGACAACAGGGACCCGAAAGTGACTGTCTCCAGGAACTACCCCTTCACCGTCCCCACTGCTGGAGTGGACAGGTGCATGGGTGCTCAGCTTGCTCTCCACCTGCCAGGATTTGCTGTGATCTGCCAGCTGTGCCCTCAGTAACCCCACCCCAGCCTGCATCCTTGTAGGTCAACAGCAGTCACCTGGAACATTGGGTAGGTGAGGAAGGTCTCCAGTGGGCGCTCCTCGCAGTCGGGCTTGGCCTCATACTGCTTGAGAAGCTTGTCAAAGTCGCGGTTTTTCTTGCAGTGTGCTAGGATCTGGAGGCTGTACTGGTGGTTGCGGACAAACTCCTGGTAGATGTTAAGCATTGGCAGCAGGATGTCAAACAGGTCCGCTGCAGAGGAAACAACAATAATGGAAATGTAACAGCATAATGTAATCATCTGACGTAAACACTGAATGAAATGTCTGCTACAAACAGGCTTCAGACTCTTACTCACTCTGTTTTCAGTCATGTGAAATGGGAAAAGAAAACTTGCACACCCTCAGATCTCTGTGTAGGCAAATGTGGAAGGGAATATCGCAATGACTTGGGTGGCTGTCTGAGGGACAGAGTGACAGGTGATATTTTAAGTGTTTTCTACTTTTCTGGGGTTTGAGATGTTCCTGGTGGGCACGTTTCTGGGTAGACATGTTGCTGTCGGAAGGCAGATAAGCAAATATAAAGGCCTCAGTCCTGTCTAGGAGCACATCCTGGTTGTCTTTCTCCTCGTAGGGACTCTGGGGTCTACAGAGAGCCTACTGTAATGACCTAGAGGGACAGAGCTGTCTCCTGTCCAAGAAAGGAATACGTGGGATGCCATGGGAATGGCTACTCACCCAGCACCAGGGTGGGCCAGCTGGCAATACGGGCCTTCAGGCCTTGGTAGAAGATCTGATGCAGGAACATGATGGTCTCACTGAAAGAAAAAGCACAGGTAAGTTCCTGCCTGGGCTTCCAACCTCCCTGGGGAGGACTCTTCTGAACATTTCAGTGCCACACTAAATCGGGGCCCTCAATAGGCGCTCTAACCACCTAGGATCAAGTGGGAGTGCATTAACCGCCACACAAGCTTCTCGGTGTAGGGGTGTGAGCCCATGAAGATGGCAGAAAAAAGCTGCTGTGGCCAGCAGCCAGCTGTGCAGAAGAAGCCCTCTCTGCTGTCTTCCCCCTACTAATATCTGCCTCAAGGTATTGGAGAGACCTGGAGAATACAAAACACCAGCCACTGATGGTGGGAAGAGCTGAGCTTGGGACCCACCTAGAGTGAGGCTCACATCTGACTTAGGCTCTTTACTAGCTGTGTGTCCTCCAGCAGGACACCTAACATCTCTGAAATCCATATCCTTCTATGTAAAATAAGCTGAGATGAAGAATCTCCTGCAACAATGAGGCTGCTTGGATGCCTGGTATACAGTAGGAGCCTAGCAGAGCCCAGATCCCCTGGTATACAGTAGGAGCCTAGCAGAGCCCAGATCCCCTGGTATACAGTAGGAGCCTAGCAGAGCCCAGATCCCCACTACTCCTTTAATGCCTTCATTCATTCTCTTTCTCTCGTGCCTTACCCGCTCCGTTTTCTCCTTCCTACCCATCCCTGTCTGCCATGCATAGAACATTTCAGACTTCCTGAGGGCCTTTGCCCATGGACTCTGCTCTACCCATCTCTGCTGCTCATGGCTCCCTCACCTCTTCCCCCTGCTCAGGCGGTACTGATACAGAAAGACCCCTCAGAGCATAAATTGCTGTGAGGGAGAACACATCCGAGTCGAGAGCAGAACCTAGTCACAGGGAAGCCAATCCAGGCAGCCAGAAGATATGTACCAGACACTAGGACATGGACCAGTGACCCCAATACCGCAGAGGCCAGTGTAGCAACAGACTAGCAACAGACCAGAAATATCACAGAAAGGATGGTAGAAACAGCTTCAAGACATTACAAGGGGTGGCTCCAGACCATACAGCAAAGCAAACAAGCTAATTAGATTTTTTTCTCACTCTCAATGTTTGTTAAAAGCTGTATCTCCACTATTCTTTAGTCTGAATGTGCAGTAACATGATGTCTGTGTGTCTGTATGGTGTGTATTTGGTATAAGCACGCCTGTGGGTGCCAACGCCCATCAGCATTGAGTGTGGAGACCAGAGGAGAATATAAAGTGTCACTGCTCCATCACGCTCTGCCTTGTCCCTTTGAGACAAGGTCTCTCACTGAACCTCGAACTGGGCTGGCAGCCAGCAAGCCCCAGCCATCCTTACGATTCTGCTTCCCAGCACTGGTGTTAAAGGCATGCTCAGCTATGTCAATTTTTTAACATGAATGCTAAAGATTTGAACTCAGGCCCCCACTCTTATGTAGCAAGTGCTCTTGCCCACTTAGCCATCTTCCCAGTCTGAGTATGATGACTTAAAAATCCCCATGCCCTTTCTGAAAGATGTTAATGATGGCCTGAATCCGCAGCAAGCCAGTCTTGCTGGTGACAGTCTTGCAGCAACACTGAACACTGTGACCAATGAGGTGACTGCTGAAGATTTGAGCAGCTGTGGTGACTTCCTAAAATAAGGCAGTCGTGAAGTTTCCCAGATCCACTGACTCCTCTTTTTCAGGGAAAGGGTTCTCCATTCTGTATTTTATGGCCAGGCAAACTTCTTCCAAACTTAGAACCTCAGACCCTGCTGCTGCCAGTAAGTTTCTGCAGTACTTCAAACCCTCTGTCACATCAGAGTGTTCATGGGGTCTCCATGGGCAGGAGCTACCCAAAGGCACCAGCTTCTTTGCTTATATCCCAAGACTGCAGCCCTCCAGTCTTGTCTTCAGACTCCACTTCTGATCCTGGTTCTTTGTTGTTTCCAGCACACCTAAAATGAATCTCTCTGCAGGAGTCTTGGATACCTCCAAGTCACCTGTGAGAGAGACCATCTTCTTCCAAATGCCTGTTAGCATTAATGCCTTGGTCTTTCCCCTGAGTCACAGATGTTCCTTCTGACATCTACAATGGCATGCGTTCTCCAGAAACTCTTGAATGAACTCTGACTAGAACCTTTAGAAGAATCCCTGTCTGTGGCATCCTTACAAAAGTGTATTACTTAGATAATCAGATTTGAAAGTTGATATTCTTCCTTGAGGCACCAGCTGTAGAGCAGATGTCATGTTAGCAGGCATGAGATAAACATTTGCTTTGAATGTCTCCATTTTAGCTCTGGGATGACCAGGTGCACAATCAATCACTGGTACTATTTTGGAAGGAATCTTTGTTTTTCCTTAGCATTAGGTCTCAACAGTGGACTTCCGTGTTCTATATAGCTGTGCCTGGCTCCTTTCACAGAGCACAGGTGAGGAAGATTCAGGCTTCTGATAATTCAGAATTTTAAATGATCACTGGCTTAGCCTCCATGTCTGTGTTCTTAACAAGAAGAGCCTATTCTTTGAAGCTCTGAAATCAGACATTAACTTCTCTGTAGCTGTGACAGTCTTCCATAGACTTGTCTATTCTGTCAGGCTCTTTGGTCCACACGGAGAAGCACAGCAGCCTTCATGGATTCTCTCTGATCCATCTTCTGGACAATTTCCTCCAGTTTCCCTATTAGCACCTAGCACTGAACCTTGGAGGAGTGACTTCTTCCCGTGGATGTCTGCAGCTTCTACAGCTTTCTCACCTCTCTACTTTCTCAGAGTTGAAGAGAGTTAGTGCATCCCTCTGGATTAGGTCCCAGTCTCAGGCAATGCCATTGTTTATTTGAGGCTTCCCTCTGGACCACTCAGAATGTCTCTCTAACAGGAATATGACTGCTAGCCTTCTCAGCATTGGTGTTTGTTGGACCAACGCCTCCTTTTTTTTGAATAGAAGATTTATTTTTGTTATTTTTAATTATGTGCCTGAGTGTGGGTATGTATGTGCCCCTCAGGGCAGGCACCTGAGGAGGCTAGAGGCATAGTGTTCCCTGGAACTAGAATTACAGCCATCTGTGAGCTGCCTAATGTGGGAATCAAACTCAGGCCCTTTGCAAGGCCTGAGGGAGTACTTTACATCACACCATCTCTCCAGCCCTGGAGTAGCACTTTTAATTCCCTTCAAGGCTGTTTCCTTTGCCTTCAAAACTTGGCTGCTTGTTGCAGGAGGCTTGGCTCTCAGGCCATTCAGCTCACAGCGTGTATTTCTCACTGAACCATATCTTTGCTTTTGACTCAAAATAGGATATTGAGAATGTGTTTTATTCACACACTCAGGGGCCACTGTAGAGTTATTGTTCCAATTTCAGTATTATCTCTGGAGATCAGCAGGCCAGAGGACAGCAAGCAAGATACAGTAATGGCTAACTGGTGGAGCCTCCAGAACATACACGGCGTGCATCGTATCAAGTGGATCATTCTCTCCCTGCCCTCCACCCCATGACAGGGTTTCTCCATAGCCCTGGCTGTCCTGGGACATGCTCTGCAGACCAGTTGGCTTCAGACTCACAGACATCCACCAGCCTCTGCCTCCTGAGTGTTGGGATTAAAGCTGTGTGCTACCATGCCTGGCTTCAAATGGATCACCTAAGATTCATGACATCCCAAAGAATTAAATCATACCATCAAAGTCACATGTCACAGATCATTATAACACAGCAAAAATGCGAAATTCCACAAGAATTACCAAAATGTGGTGGAGACATAAACTGAGCCTGTGTTGGTTGATGGGTATACTCCATGAAGGACAGACACAAGCCTCACCATGTGAAAAGTCACATCTGTTCAGTATGGATGTGGTAGCATACACCTGTAACTGGAAATCTTGGGGGGGGGATGGGAAGTAGAGACAGGTATCCATGGCAGTAAACAGCAAAGAGACGTTGTTTCAAACAAGGTGGAAGGGGAGGAGAGCCAGTCAGCCAGCCAGAGTTTTTCTCTGACCCGCACATGCATATGCCCACACTTACATGCAGGCACACAAGATAAATGGGTTGGTTGAACATTTTCCATGGATATCTGTCTTTTGACTCTATTTTTCAAACTACCTCATGTTGCCTTTTTACTCTTTTCTCTCAAGAACTTGAAACAATTCCCTCAAACATAGGTCTGGCATGTGTGAGCCTCTTCATTCACTTCAGATTTAACAAGGTTGGTGATGTGATCTTTTCATTTTACTATGAGAGGATCTCTGTTTTCTTTCTGCTTCAACCTTGGACACCAGGTCCTTCCAATCCCTACACAGCATCCATATTTACCTGTACTTTAGTTTATGTGAAATACTTAACCAAAGCTTGCTTTGCTGTAATAGAAGAAAGGCTATGGATTCGACCTTCCTCTTTGATTGGCATGCCAAGTGTCCAATTCAAATTAGAATGCCTGTGGTTTTTACTAAATTCACAAACATTCTTCAGTCTGAGCCTGAACCTTCTTTTTGATTTGATCACATGCCGGCTGATTCTGGTCTTAGGTGGTTCCATCATGTTATGATGCACCTTTGCTCTATCTGCTTGTCTGTCTGTCTGTCTACCTATCATCTGTCTATCTATCTATCTATCTATCTATCTATCTATCTATCTATTATCTATCTACCTACCTATTTATCTATCTATCTACCTACTATCTATCTACTTACCTATCTACCTACCTATTTATCTATTATCTATCTATCTATCACCTATCTACATGTCTATCATATATTTATTTACCTACCTATCTACCTATCATCTATCATCTACCTACCTATCATCTATCTATCTATCTATCTATCTATCTATCTATCCACCCATATAGCCATCCAGCTAGCCATCCATCTACCCACCCCACTCCACCCACCTTTGTGTGTATGTGGTATGTGCAAGTATGTACACATACTTCCATGGGAGTGAAGACAAGAAGTTGATGTCGGATGTCTTCCTCAGTTGCTCTCTGCTATATTTATTGTGGCAGGGTCTCTCACTGAACTCAACATTTGCTCATTCAACTTGCTTAGCTAGCTAGCTTGCTTGGGGGACTATAGGCAGACCACTGCAACACCCCAGCAACTAAATACCCAATCGACCATCTTCCCATCTTCTTTATAACATGTTTTAATTGCAGATATGGAATGTGTATTCCATTGTTTAAGTGAATTTTAAAATCATTTTGCTAGGCTGAACTTTGAGTAGAATTGCATTAAATTGGGAGAGTAATTTTGGTGAAAGGACATTTTTGACATGGACTTTTTCTAATCTGGATATAGGTACCTCCCCCCTCTCTCTCTGTCTCTCTGTGTGTGTATGTGTGTATGTGTGTATGTGTGTGTGTGTGTGTGTGTATGTATAGCCATGTGAAGCCAGAGGCCAGCCTTTGGTGCATTCCTCTGGAACACTGTCAACCTTATGTTGAGACAGGGTCTCTCGCTGGCCTGAAGTTCACCAAGTAAGCTAGTCTGGCTGGCCAATGAACCCCAGGGATCCTCTGGTCTCTGCAACCTCAGTGCTGAGATCACAGGCACACACTATCTCAGTTTTTTCACATGGTTTCTGGGATGGAACTCAGATCCAAATACCAATTGAGCCATTTCCCCAAGTCCCACTTGTGTCTTTTCCAAGTCTTTAAAAAAGACATAAGAAAGCTTTATGTCTTGATCATTTGGGGCCTCTGTTGATTTCTACATAATCGTGTTGTTGGTTCTATTTTGAGCAGGACCATTTTCTCATAATTTAAAGTTACTCTGTAGACAGTAGGAAAAGCTACCCCCACTTGGATTAAAAACTTCCTAGACTTTGGACTCACTACCAGGTTCCAGCGATGGTGGCCTCTGATTTATCCAGCACAGCTACTCCTCCACCATCTGCTTCTCTTCTCATTGAATGGCAGCTTGAGCTGGCCAGCCTCTCAGTCACTCCACCTATCCATCACGTTGTGGATTCTGTGCTCTGATCTCAGTGACACCTGCCTCTCTATCATCTCTGCCTAGACTACTGTTAGTGGGTTCCTCAGGGGTCCCCTGCTTCCACACTCACCCTCAGCTTACCCTCTCTCTTAATGTAGCTTGAACATCTGAGCTGATTTAGAGTGGCTTTAGCTTGCCCTATACCCTCTAGTCTGACTTATAGTCTTTCTCATTTTGCTTCAGCCACTCTGCCTTTATTTCTGTCCACTGTACTCAAGTTTTTTCCTGCCTCAGAGTTTTTGCATAGGCCGTTCTCTTAGTACATACTGACATTTTTGGATGGGAGTAGGAGAGAAGAGGAAATAGGAGGGGAAAGAGTGTAGTGTTATTGTACATGCAAATATACCTTAAAACTACTTCATATTTATTAATTTTATTTTAGGTGTATGGATGTTTTGCTTGCATGTATGTATGCTCACAACATGCATGTCTGGTGCCCATGGAGGTCAGAAGAGGGCATTGGATGCCTGGAACTGGAGCTATGGTTGTGAGACACATGTGGATGCTGGGAACTCAGTGTGGGTCCTCTGCAAGAGCAAGCAAGTGCTCTTAATGACCAAGTCATCTCTCCAGCCCCAAGTATGCTTTTTTTTTTTTAAATCGACTTTTGATAAGAATAATCGGAAGGCTCTCCATCTTATTCAGTTCTGTCAGTGTAGGTAAAAATGATTGATTTCTTTCAGTTCTGTTGGTTTAAGTAAAAATGATTGATTCTTTTAAAATGCTAAGTTTGCCATGACTCTTTAAGGACAGCTGTGAGCCCTGTACTGAGCTCCACCAACACACAGCCAGGTACCAGACCAGATGCTGGTCACTCCAGATCCAATTCTAGCAATGATAAAGACAGATGTTGGGTTCTGGTGGGTACCCTCCTCACTGCACTCTGCATCAGAGGTTATCAGCTGTGGCCTGTGGGGCACACATGACACACCCCATCTTGGATGACTTTCACTGTTTTAAGGCAGATTCTCACGATGTACTTAAGGATGCCCGGGAGCCTGCTATGTACTCCAGATGGCCTTTGCCTCTTCGGTGCTGGCATTATAGGTATGTGCTACCACATTTGAATTTTTTTTACACTGTAAATGGTTGGGGGAGGAACCCTCAAATAGATATTTTGTGACATGTGACGTTCACATTTTAGTGTGTATAAATAAGATTAATTGGAATAGAGCCACGCCATGTATTTGTGTCTCTCTTATTGCTTAGTTGCCATGGAGAATATAGGCTCCACAAACTCTAAAATATTGATTTTTAATGAATTTTTTAGTGAATAAAGCAATGGCATTTTATATATCATTGTACTTTGTTCAGGTTTGTCCTTCCACTTCCCTTCTGTTCCTTCTCCTGCCTCCCACTATAAAATAAAAATAGTCATATGTGTCCCTTTCCAGATAAGTTTTGCTGGCCCATGTATAGGCGGTATCCCAGGAATTAATCAGTGTGTAGCTTACAGTCTTGTCTTCACCCTCTGAAAAGATCTAGACACTAAAGATATCAATGTTTGGGTTTGTGAGGTGGCTCAATGGGTCAAGCACTTGCTTCACAAGTCTAAGAATCTGCATTTGGAGCTCCAGCACCCAGGTGGAACCTGGCAGGGTGGCATAAGTCAGCAATGCCAGCTCTAGGAAAGTAGACAAGAGGCTCATTGAGACTTGCTGGTCAATGAGTATAGCCAAATTGGTGAGATCCAGGTGTACTGAGATCTTGTTCCAGAAATAAGGGGGAAAAAAACTAAATTGAAGGAGATGCCTAGTGTTGACTTTTGGCCTCACATGTACACATATACACACACTGGCACATACATAAAAGAAATTGCTGTTTAAATGTAGTGAGGGCTACTACAGAGAGGCACTCTAGGAGTATACAGAAGGGAATATTGGCTAATAGCTACCAAGAGGTCTGGGGGCTGGTGAGGGACAGAACATCCAAAGGAACCAATGAGAAGAGGGCAGTAGTTCATTTGAGACCTACTTACCTGCTTCCTTCTTTAGTGACCAGGAAGGGGCATGACCAAGGCCAGGCCAAAGAGGTCAGAGTGGGGCCAGAGCAGAGCAGAAGTAGGCCTGTCTACAATGCTAGTTATAGTGGCTTAGGTGCCCATCCTTGTCTACTCCCTAGATCATTCAGACATGATAAATGGATTATGGCATTTCCTTCCACGGAGTTCCTCATTGGCCCAAACCAAGGCTGCAGGCAGACACTGTCAATCATCAGAGTGAGCAGCAGGATACAGACATCCCCTGTCACCAGGCTGAGGAGCCCCTGAGCACAACTGTGGCTTCCAGCTCTCAGTGCCAGACATGGATTTTATTAAAAGGAAACCGTTCAAGTCTGTAAGCAGACCATGCTGGCCTCTCAGGGCCTGCTGATGCTGCATAGGTGAAGAATCTTTCCGAGATATGACAAGCATGCAATTAACACTCTTCATGACACTGCCTACCTGGAGGAGAGAGGGCTCTTTCTTCTCCAGGACCCTTTTACTGGGCATCAGTACATTAAATCACTAAATTGACATCAGGTTTCTAATGTGGCTGTCCACTACCTCTCGCAAGCAAGGTAGCTGGGCAGAACCCTGTGCAGAGATGCTCTCCAGTAAACCAGCAGGCAGCTTCGTTCTTCACATGTGCTGCCCAGAACCCTTCCATTCCCCATGGTTGGAGAACCTGTCCCCAAGGCACTTACAGTAGGAGGCGGTGGGGCTCACATAGTGAAACAGACTTCAGATTGGGGGGATATTTGGAGCCCTGTACTGTGATTTATGCTCACAAGGAGCATGGAACACAGGAAAGGAGTACTGCTTGTCTTTCCTTATTCACCCCATGATGCCTCTTTTCCGAATGCTTCTGTCCAGTGAGGCCCTTATTACAAGAATCTCTCAGAAGTCAAGGTTGCTGCTAAGCTCTTAAACTTCCAAAAAACATGAGTGCAAATAAGCTGTCTTTCTTTTCCTTTCCTTTTTTCCTTCAGTTCTATGAACAAAACTGAGGGTCTCCCATATTCCAGGCAAGTGTTCTTCATCTGTGCTGTATTTCCAACCATTTTTAAAAAGTAAACTACTCAGTTTCAGGTATTTTGTTATAGCATCATGAAAGACATGAAGACAATTCGTAACTGCTAAATATTGAAAGTTCAGTTTCTCAATAGTGGTGGTATTGGTCTTTGGGTAGAGTAGTTCCTGTGTGTTATAGAATGTTTGGACAGATCCACGGCCTTTGCCCACATGTATCAGTAACAACCTATATAAATTTTTGCAGTCAAACAGTCATTGTTAACTCTTTTACCATGGCCAAAATGCTTTAGATTTAGACTATGTATGCCTTAGTTTATACTCCCATCTCAGACTCTGAAACTGTTTGGTCTTATGACCTTGAATTATTCCCTTCAGCAACCAATGCTTCCCACCCTTGTTGTCGCTCCTGCTTACCTGTTCAGAAAGATACTGCTGAGGTCGTCATGTGTTATAGGGGGTTTCTTAGAGCTGGCGACCATGCGCAGTGGGCGCAGGAAAGTGTTGACAAGGACGTGTAGTTGCTGCACGTATTCAGCCTCGGCCTCCAGCATGCTGAACACAACCTGGTTCCTCTTGCGCATGCTGTCAGCGTGGGGAGACCGGACGTAGTCCTGGATGATGTTCTTCCACTTTCGCCGGCACAGCCATCCCCGAAGAAAGCTCTGGACCTGGTAAAGCAGAGTGTGAGAGGTTTATGTTAGTATTAGTCACTCTTGTTCTTAAAAGCTGTGAACACACCAGGGGCAGGGACCGGGGTTGGTTTTCCTCGCTGCTGGCAGTATAGGGAGAAGAGCTGATACGCAGCGCAGGGCTGGCTCTGCTGCCTGTGTGATGCTGAGCATGCTCCGTGAGCCCTCAGACAATGTTCCCATCTGTGAAATAGAGATCAGGAGCATCCAAGTATGGACTAGAAAGCTAGTCAGAAACGTGAGTTCTAAGGCCTGGTCCAGCCTGCTGCATTTTAACAAGTTCCCCGATTGCTCTAGAAGGGAGAAAGGAGGAGAAGTGGGCCTCAAGTCTCCACACAGAGCTAGCTTGAGAAGGGTTGTTAGGCTGTGCCTGCCATGATTGCGTCTTGTCTAATGACTCTTCTGAGAGCCCAGGGGTTTCAATTAAAGCTTGTCTGCAGAAGGTAATTATCAAATTGGACAGAACAAGGCAGATTTGCTCATCTCCGGCTCTTCAGTGGTTTCTGAGTCCTAGCACCAGGCTAACGCCTCTCCCAACTCAGCGGGAAAGTGAGTGGGACGCTTGTTCGGTGGCCTTGGGGTTGGCCGAGAGAAGTGGTCTCTAACGAGGGGCAGGAACTTGGAAAAGGGTCTTCACTCATGCATGTGCATGGACACACACAGAAACACATTCAGAGAACACAGACACACATAAACATACACACTACACATACAACACACATTCACACAGAAGCACACAAGACACATTCAGATATGTACATACACATTTATACACACAGCCACATATCACACACAGACATATATGTACAGATGCATGTCATATACACATAGACATAGAAAACATACATATATCCAGACATAACTCATACAAACACACACACACACACACATACACACACACACAGTCCTCAGCTGCACAGGGTTCTAAACCAGGGTTATCTTTTGGGGCTGCTTGGATGTGCTCAAGCTCATGACCTGCACAGGGAGGAAGACAGAGACTGGGGCCAGATAGGAATCTTTATTGAAAGGCCCTGGCCATGGACAGCAAATGAGGCTGTAGCAGAGATTTGCCTCTAAGGACAGGGAGGCCTTTGTGGAAAAGAGAGGGCTTTAAATGCCCCAAGAGACACTGGGGGTGGATTTCACCCAGCCCTTATCAAATGCTGTAAGCAGAAAGAACTACCCTAAGTTGAAGGATGGGCCTGAATGTTTAGGGGCCAAGCAGAACCAGCTATCCCTACCTCGGTGAGGCCTGGTGTCAAAACTCCATGTTTACCTGTGTGAATCCGAAAGTTTCCACATACACACGTGGCTGCCTTGGGAATGAGAGAGGGCAGCCTATCCCGCCTGGGGCTGACATTGCTACCCTTATACCAGAGGTGCCTCAGGCTGTTAGACCTTCTGCTTCTCCAGGAGGGCACATGTTCATGTAGCTGAGGGCATGGGCTGGGGGAACTTGTGCCAGGGTTTGAATATCTTCCTGCACATATCTAGTTATGTCAGCTTTGACAGGTTACCTGGCCTCTCTGTGCCTCAGAGTCCCCAGGTATGAGAATGTGGATAATGGAATCTCAGAGGCTTTCTCCTCAGGATCCACTTAATCTGCATCAAGCTCCCAGAATAGCATCTGGCATGTAGAAAGTGGCTAATGAATGCTACAATTTCTATTTTTGAGAAGCTAGATATCCAGATTTCTGCATGGAGTGTTTAGTTCTTAAGGTACTAGCAGCAAAATATAAAGGGGAAAATATACATGCACCATACACGTCAAGAGGGCTGGACTTAGCCCGTGGGATATATTTGGAGTTTCTGGTCTGTATGACACGGGGCTCTTCCTGAAAACTAGACAAAGTTTCCTCTTGTCTCATTTGCTGTCCTTAAGGTAAACCATCACCCTTGTCTTCAGTCTGACCAGATGAAAATATAGCCAGGTTCCTTCTCTGCACTGTGGCACTATGGGGTGGCCCATGATACTGTTACTACCGTCGCTACTGGGCAGGTCCCTGACACTTTATGAGAATATCCTTTGGGAGTGGCTGACTGTGGGAACTCATGAAGGCAAACTTCCTGCTGAGTCCTACTGGGGAGTGGGCAGTTGTGATGTGTGTGTGTGTGTGTGTGTGTGTAACAAGCAAGTAAGCAACTATGGGAAGGTTCCTGGGGGTTTGGTGAGGTTGTATGGCCCTTAGAGGAAAATTCTTAAAGAAGACTTCCTAGACCTTGGTCCGGGGCCTATCCCCTCCTTCATCGCCTTTGTTTCTATACACCAGGCTAGATCACCCTCTCTCGAAGTGACTGTTGTTCCTATCTCTGGAATGGAGCGACTGAGTGAGTGGCATGTCAATGGACAGTGGGATGGCAAGTGGACACTGGCAGCCAAGGGTAGTACAGACCTTCTTAATTTTCTTGAGGTCCTCATCCTCATCGGTAGTCTGCATATTGGCCCGTGCACGTTCATTGGCCTTCATCAGGTTTGAAATCTGCAACAGAATCATATGTCAGTAGTGGGCAGGAGACACTGACCAAATGGCAGTGGCGGGACCTGAAGGCTTGCCTCATCTGCCGCAGGAGTTGACACTGTTGTGTGCTGAGTCCCAGATGCCTATTTGGTAGAGCATGCTGTATTGGAACAAGTGTACTGTGGCTACTTTGAGGTCATCAAAGTGTAGACAAGGCCCTTCTATGTCTGAGGCATTGTCTATAACCCTGTCTATGATTCTTTTCGATGTTCTGCAAACCATAAATCCCCTTTATTTTACTGTGGTAAGATATATAGGAAGATAAAAGTTACCATGCAATTTTTTTTCATGTGTAGTTTTGTATATGCATGCGGTATGTACATGTATGTGCAGGCAAATATACACTTGTATGTTCCTACATATGGAAGCCTGTGTTTTTTCCTCGATTGCTCTAACAGCTTTAATTTTTGAATCAGGGTCTCATTGACCCTGAAGCTCATCAATTCAGCTAGGATGGTTTGCCAATGAGCTTCAAAGATCGTCACCCCTTCACCCAAAGGATTACCAGCATATACAATTATTGGATTCTGGGGATTTGAACTCAGGACCTTGTGCTTGCATGGCAGGGACTTTTCTGACTGAGTCAACTACTTAACACCCATCAATCATTTTTTCAAAGATTTATTTATTTTATATATGTGAGTACATTGTGGTTCTCCTCAGACACACCAGAGGAGGGCATCAGATCCTATTACAGATGGTTGTGAGCCACCATGTGGTTGCTGGGAATTGAACTCAGGACCTCTGTAAGAAGAGCCAGTGCTCATAACCACTGAGCCATCTCTCCAGTCCCATCAACCATTTTTTTTTAAAGATTTATTTATTTATTTATTTATTTATTTATTACATATGAATATACTGTAGCTGTCTTCAGATGCACCAGAAGAGGGCATCAGATCTCATTACAGATGGTTGTGAGCCACCATGTGGTTGCTGGGATTTGAACTCAGGACCTCTGGAAGTGCAGTCAGTGCTCTTAACCACTGAGCCATCTCTCCAGCCCCGGTCAACCATTTTTTTTAAACTAAGGTTTGTTTGTGTGTTTGTTTGTGTGTATGTCTCTCTCTCTCTCTCTCTCTCTCTCTCTCTCTCTCTCTGTGTGTGTGTGTGTGTGTGTGTGTGTGTGTTTGTGGGGCCAGAAGACAATGTTCAGGAGTCAGTCTGCTACTTCTATGATGTGGTTCTGGGACTGAGCTCACACTGTCAGGCTTGGAGGCAAGCGCCTCTCCCTTCTGAGCATCCACTGCCCTCCTCAGTGAATCACTGTTGAGAGCATTGTTCAGAGGCATCCACCCTATTTGTAATGTGCAGCCAACATCACCATCTACCTCTGAGATCTTCAGACAGAAATTCTGTGCCCATTACACAGTAAGTTCTACTGTTGACAGCTAGTGTGCTACCTTGCACATCTGTAAACTTTACACTAGAGGTCCATATGGAGTTACTTGGTATTTTGCTTAGCACTGCAACCTCAGGGTTCATACATTGTCAGAAGTTTCTTCATTCACATTATCATTATCCTTTGTTCTCATATACCCCCTTTCTGCTGTCCTCCCTTGGCCCCTTCCGGCTGTTTCTCATCCTTCTCCCAGACAGTTCCCCCTCTCTGCCTTTTTTATTTTATGTATCCATTACCTTCTTTCACTCTAGTTCTTTAAGAACTCATCTTGCCCTCTCGTGATCCCACTTTTATGGTTTCATGATCGACACAATACACATACAGGAGCACACACATACACACATATATAATCTTGACATATATATAAGTTTCCACATGAGAAAATGTGCAGAGCTTGCCTGATTCTGGCTTATTTCATTTAATGCAGAGATACCCAGTTCCATGCATTTTCTTGCAAACATTTTATTTTTCTTTATGGCTGCATAAAGTCCCACATTGTGTTATGTACCACATTTTCTTTATGCATCTAACTGCTGGCTCTACATCCTAGTTATTGTGAATATTAGCAGGAATGAACATGTATGTGTGAGTGTCTCTGTGGTAGGCAACACACACCTGTTGGACTGTCCTTTATCTTTCTGACAAAAACACATGAGAGAATAAATCAGAACAGAGCTGGGGGCTCAGAGTGGGACTCTGTTGGTTGGCCTCTCTCTTCTCTGGGTTACCTTGAAGCATTTCCTGGGATCAAAGTTCTCTTGGAGTTTAACTACTAGTCTAGAAAGATAATGTAGGAACTGATATGACAAAACAAACTCCATTTGTCTTATTTGTGGATTATAGAGAATCAAGACCAAGGGCTGGCATCTGGGAGCAGGACATTGTAAGTCTGTCTGAGACTGTCCCAGAGGATGGGCCATACCCAGTGGTCATCTCATACCAGGGTTCACACTCATAGTAAAAAAGAAGAACTTTCTCATGAAGAAAAGCCACCCGTTTCCTCTCCCTGCTTTGGTGAGAGTTCTGTGGAGAATGATTGGAAGTGGTCTCATTCATTCCAGAGCCTGGTGGCTAGTACAGGACTCAGAATGAAACACACCCTTGTCAGCTACAAAAAAAAAAAAAGTGAATTAAAAACTAATCAGAGCAACAGTGGCTGCAAAAGCCCCAATTACAGGAAGCTATAGTAGTTAGTGAGCCCAGCACATCTAAAGGCAGAGAGGCTCGGGAGATAGACGCGGCTGCTGGCAGTCTGTTCCCTCCTCAGAACAGGAGGTTGTGCCCTCAAGGCCACTTGCTGAACCTCAGGATGAATGGCTCTTAAAAATGAAACTTTGAAGCCTTTGAGAGTGGAGTGAACAGTTGCAGGCTCTCCACTCCTAGGCTGCTAAAATTATCCTGGCTGTCCTTCACTTGGAGAGTGTCTGAAAACATCTAACCAGAACATTCAGTGGAGAGACCTGCTTACCTGTTCACTTGCCTCCAGATCCCGCTTTTTTTTTTTTTTGAGATTCTGTACTACTTCCTTATATTTCCTCCTCAATCCTTAAGCTTAGAACATTGACATGTTGAAATAAAACATTCTTTGGCTGGCAGTCTAAGGGCTATGGTACACACACACACACACACACACACACACACACACACGCACACACACCTGCTCTGGGTGACCTCCAAGGCTGGGTCAAACATGTTCCTCTTGGCCTAAATGTCTTCACCTTCCAACCAGCCTGCTTTCTTTGCCGACTTTGATACTTGCACAGAGGATGGTGGCGATGGTTTTTGTTGGGGGATAGTCTGTATTTAAAACTGACAGTGGAGGCTAGAGACTTGGTGCTGTGCTTAAGAACACTACCTATTCTCCCAGAGGACCTGGGTTCAGTTTCCAGCACCCACAGGGTGACTTATTACCCTTAAAAATTTCAATATCTGGGGATCTGATGCCCTCTTTTGGCTTCTTTGGAAACCGTGCATGTAAAAACTGCACAGACAACCATGTAGGCGGTACTCATACATATAAAATATAAAATTTAAAATGGCAAAGAAAGTTTACAGTTGGCTTCTCAGAGACAAGCCTGAAAATAAGGCACAAGTAAGTCTCATGCCCTGCTGTGATGTTCAGTGCCTTAACCGTCTTAGAGACTAGAATTCTTTTTTTTACATTCATTTTAATTTATTTATGTAAGTGATATGTGTGTGCACACATGCGTGCATGTGTGTAGAAATCAAAAGACAACTTCCACTAGTCACTCCTTCCGCCATGTGACCTTGGGACTCGAACTTGTAAGGCTTAAAGGTAAATGTCTTTATCCCATGAGCCTGGAGGTTTTATTTAAGGATCAGTCTGGGACGCAGCTTTGGGAACTTAGGAACTTGGGTTGTTGTAGAAGTCTTAGGCTATGGCCTATGGCATCTCAGCTTTCTCCTTCTTGCTTCCCTCTGCTCTCCTCCAAGCCCGTATGTCTTCTTTGTGCCAACCCCATCTGAAAATTGTAATGCTCTGCAAGTGATGTGCTCTGTGCTAGGCAGTGGAGCAGCTGGGCTTCCAGAAGTGTACTATCGCCTGGAAGCTGAGTCAAGAGGTTCATAAGGCCAGCCTAAGCCAAATAGTGATATTGTCTATAAAAACAACAAAAAGTCCAATAAGGCACAGATAGAACAGTGATATGTATCCTCTATCCACTGTCACGAACAGGGCAGTCAGTTGGAAACCTTGCCCTAAATTTCCACAAAATGGGCCTTTGCTGCCATTACATGGCACAGGCACAGGCACAGGCACAGGCACAGGCACAGGCACAGGCACAGGCACAGGCACAGGCACAGGCACAGGTACAGGCACAGGCACAGGCACAGGCACAGGCACACATGACCTGCATTCTGCTCCTTGTCCCCTAGGGGGCTCTGTCCTCAACACCTGTTCCTAGTCTGGCTTACAAACCAATGAAAGATTTTAAGACCAAGTACAACCTGAGTTTATACCCTCTGGCTTTCAAACACCTTGTCAGGACTAGGGCTTGTGGGGCCATGAAAGGATAGCTTGGTTCCTAGTTGAGTGCAGGCCTTGAACCCTGGACCCTAATGGGACAACGACAGGTGTTCTGTCTCACTTCCAGACCCCAAGGTCCTGACACCCGGTCTAAGACCTCCATTGGTCCATGCTTTTCAGTCACATAGGGCAATGCAGCCCCTCCCAAAGAGGTTTGTGTCACCTAACACAGGTAGAGGGCATAACTACAGGCTTCAGCCTCAAGAGATCTGCATATTAATGAGATACCTGAAGGCCAGAGGACATAGCCAATTAAGCATTCCTTCTTAGACCCTCCTCCCTTCCTACTTAAGTCAGGCCTACTCTGACCTATGGGGGGGGCGTTGGGGGGTACAACCAGATTCATCTACCTTCCACCATGACATTAAACCTTTTCAAAAAACCATGGACTTCCTCGTGTCTTTGGGGCCCACCGTGGGGAACCGGGAGAAAGTCTCAACTATGGAGCCATCGTCTAATCTCCTGTGGAGGACTTCTCTGTGTTCCAGCCACAGGGACCACTGATTCAAGCAAGCC